CAAATCCCCAGTTCAGAGAAGACACCAGCCCTTGGTACCAGTGCTGCCCGCTGTCTCATCACAGGTCATTACTCACCGTTATCACCCTCAGCAACAGCAGCAAAGATGGGATGTACCCCAGATAAGTAGCATCTAGGCTCAGGTCCAGGCCTGCAGGGTTCCATTCATCCTGACCAGCAATTTCACCGAATTGCTAGTCATGCCTCAAAGACACAGCCAAACACTGGCTTATGCTTCACGCTTAAAGACCCACACCAAGTACCCAGGACCATGAGCTCACTTCCTCTAGCTGTGCACACACTGTGTGACCTCTTCCTCCTTCTCAGCTTGACATCTCAGGTTCACACCCTCAGCTCTGCCACCTCCTGGTCCACACCTGGCATCTCTCTGAAATCATCCATGAACTTAACATATGGCTTTCAGACAGTGCTCTGATATGTGTGAATGATCTAATTCAACAGAGGCAGGACAGAAAGAAGTTAGAGGAAAATCCTGACAATTGGAAAGAGGATGTAGGAGGACATGTCCTCTCACCTGAGCCTCTCCCTTTGGCCACCAACAAAGGAAAACAGTTGATGGCAGGAAGCCCCTGTGGCGATCATGGAAGTGGAAACCACAAGAGGGACTCAGAGTTTGGCACCACACTGCTTGGGAACAAAGCCCCCACTCTTGAAAATGCATAAAATCACAAGAACTATTTCAGCACTTGCTCCTCTCTCTTCAGTTAGCTGGTATCCACTGAAAGGCACATGTTTTTCTTCCTTCACAGTGGCTCCCACACTGGCTTTTTTTTTCTACCTGAATAAAACTTGCTTTAGTCTCACACTGATTTGTCCTTCAGACCTTTCCTGGGCCACTCAAGGTCCTGAATATTGTCCGACACACACATTTTTAGGAATGTGCCAGAGCCCCCTAGTGTGTTTGAGGTTCAGTAATAAAACTGCAGTTGGCCCCTCAGCCCAACCCCCTCTCCCCACCACCCCGCTTCCCTGTCATACCATGTCAGCCAGGAGCACCTTACTGTCCAGGACACCAGGGTCTGGGCTACAGGGCATGACAGGCACCCCACACCCAGGCTGTAGGGTTCAGTGGGGTGAGGGAGAGAGGCCGCAGGATGCACACTCACCTCAGCAGGGCAACTCAGAAAAGCTGCAGCCATCCACTTTGTGGGCAGTGTGAGGGGGCTGCTGCAAGTGTGTAGTGGGTCCCTTCTATCAGGGACCCTGTCCCAACCCTGGATCCAGTCACCCAAGTATCCTCACTGGGGTTCCTTCCTGCTGCTCTGTCACCTTCTCCATTCGATTTTGTGACCAGAATAATATGACCAGATAATAACAAAACTGAGAGAAGAGAAAATGCCTACCAGGAGTTGCTTGCCAAGAGACGGAAGAAGACCCACCATATATAGACCAAATGGAAATGCCTGTTCTGAGCCTTTTTTGGCTCATTGTTCTGCTATTCCAGCCTGCCTTCTGGGTAATCTGAGGTAGAAGTTTAGGAGAAGGAGGAAGGGTGGAAGGGAGTCTGTAATAATTGTAGAAAGAGCTCATAAATAACTTTGATGAACTGCCTCAGGCCACGTATGTTTTTATAAAAGATACAAGAGGTGGTCTAGATCAAGATAAAAATCTGAGTTAACAGACTTCCACCCATACCAGCGAAACAGGATGTAGACTGAGAGCCCCCTGGGTATATAGGGAAAAGGCCCTGTAGCCCATGTTTTGGGGGATTGGGAAGAGTGAATGATAGAATTGGGATACTTTGCATTATAATGGCAGTTGGTAGCTAGTTAAATAGCCTCTGTGTAAAATGTGGGCATGACTTTCAGGATATATCCTGCTTTGTGAGGTAGCTAGGGGGGCAGTCCCCCTGGATCACTGAGTCATGCTTGTCTGGACTAAGTATGGCAGCTGGGAGAAAGAATAGTATACAGAAAATTGGCAAATGTAATTCATTGTGGGAGGAGTAAAGATGAGGTCACACAGGAGGGAGGCTCTGAGTCAGAATTTAAAACTAATGGCTGGCCCTAGCTGGTGTAGCTCAATAGACTGAGTGCTGGCCTGCAAATCAAGGGGTCACTGGATTGATTTCCAGTCAGGGCACATGCCTGGGTTGTGGGCTGGGTCCCAGTGTGGGGTGTGTGAGAGGCAACCACACATTGATGTTTCTCTCCCTCTCTTTCTCCCTCACTTCCCCTCTCTAAAATAAGTAAAATCTTTAACAACAGAAAACTAAGGATGGGGAGCATGCGCAGATTTGGACATACAATTCAAAGGGTGTAGGAGGCCCCACTCTAACCCACTATGATGTCTGGTGTATAAGGAATTGCCATGCAGTTTTAGATTAAGAGCTGGGAGAAGAGAAACTCAGAGAAAACTGCCTGGGGAACATGGCAGATGATGGTGCTGGGACTTGTGGGACCTACCCAGTCAAGAACAGTCTAATGCGAGATGCCTGAAATGCTGAACTGGGCCCGGGAGTGCTAAGTTGTGGACTTCTGCTTTTCTAAAAGATGGTACCTCTGACTGGCATATTCTGAAACTGGCCTGGTTTGGCAAAGGGAGACAGCACTGTATGTTTGTGGGTGATTTAAAGGGAGTGGGATTTAATAGCAGAATTCTGCCATTTTTCTAAATCTGTATAACTTTTAAATAAACGATTTCTTTCCTTTTCACCAAACTCTGGCATTGGGAGTCACAGTTCTTGGCAGTGGGCAATCAGAACCCCCCGTTGGTCCAGAACAGCATAGACTGGGGTTCTATAACACCTGTGCTTAGGAGGTCATGCCCTCAGTTGGAAGAGTATGCACTACCTTCTCCCACCAGATCAACAGGTAATTCCCTCACCCCGACCCCACAATTGTATAAATCCTCAGGACAAAGACCAAACACCTACACCTTTCTCACCTACCTCGGCTAGGACCATTCCCTTCCCTGAAAACATAATAAAATCCTACCTGCATGCTAACCCACTTGATCTTTAATTCTATACTGGGTCAGCATGAAGAACCAAGCATCCCACAACACTTACACTTCAAGCTGGGATCCTGTATATTCCTAGCTGACTCCGGGAGTGGATTTGTGGACTTAAGTCTCCAAGAATACATTGAGAATAATAAGTGTGCTGTATCACCCCACAGGGCACATCATTTCTCAGGCAAGGTAGTCTCTGGTGTGCATGCAAGGCCTTTTATTTATTTAATTTTTAAAGTGCTGGTTTTGCATATCTTTAGGATCTGCTCTTTCTGACCTCCAGGTGTCTGGTCTCTTCTTGATTCAGGCCATCTGGAATCTGCCTCCTTCAAGCAGAATGTGGTTTGGGAGGTTGCTCAAGTCCCTAATCCTATCAATCCTGCCTCAGTTGAACATACTTTGCAAAATTAATGTAATAACATATATACTAATACTTAAGTGCATTTGTGCCTGAGGAACCCAGAAGTCTCAGCTCTGCCTGTGCAGCAGTGTAACAGGAGTCCATACTGATTTGATCAGATGCCTCTACTTTTTTTTAAAGATTTTATTTATTTATTTTTAGAGAGCAGAAGGGAAGGAGAAAGAGAGAGAGAGAATCAATGTGTGGTTGCCTCTCACCTGGCCTGCAATCCAGGCATGTGCCCTGACTGGGAATCGAACCTTCGATTCTTTGTTTCGCAGCCCGCGCTCAATCCACTGAGCTACGCCAGCCAGGGCTCAGATGCCTCCACTGTAATTATACATTTTTTGCATACAAGGAAGTACAAGCTGAAGACATCAAAAATATGCAGTTACAGAAATTCAGCCTAGAAATTACATTTAAAGTTCCAGACCAACCAAATGAATATGCTAATAAAGCTACTCATACTACTTGTTTGCTCCCCAGTGCATATTGTAGTCTATTAAATATGAAAGACCACTAGGTCAAATTAAAATATGCATACCATAATTAAAAATACTTTATTGGGCTCTGACAGTGTGGCCCAGTGGATTGAACACCAGCCTGCAAACCAAAGGGTCACTGGTTTGATTCCCAGTCAGGGCACAAGCCTGGGTTGTAAACCAGGTCCCCAGTAGGGAGCACACAAGAGGCAACCACACACTGATGTTTCTCTCCCTCTCTCTATCTCTCTCCCTTCCCCTCTAAAAATAAATAAAATAAAATCTTTTTTAAAAAAGACTATCAGCTGATTTCTTAAAAGAAACCTTTCCAGCAAGTAGGGGCTGGAAAGGAGTATTCAAAGTTATGAAAGGCAAGGACCTACATCCAAGATTAACCTATCCAGCAGCTATCATTCAGAAGGGCAAATAAAGTGCTTCCCAGATAAGGTCAAGTTAAAGGAATTCATCATCACCAAGCTTATCTAAGAAAAAGATCAAAACTATGAACAATAAAATGACAACAAACTCACAACTATCAACAACTGAATCTAAAAAAAACCCAAAAACAAACTAAGCAAACAACTAGAACAGGAACAAAATAACAGAAATGTAGATTACATGGAAGGATATCAGCTGGGCGGGGGGGCGGGAAGCGGGGGGAGAGAATGGAGGATAAGGTACAGGGAATAAGAAACATAATTGGCGGGTACAAAGTAGACAGGGAGAGTTAAAAATAGTATAGGAAATGGAAGTGTGCATGCAAGGCCTTTGGAAGAGCCGAAGAACCTATACATATGAGGCATGGACATGCACTAAGCTGGGGGGCGCAGGTAATGTTGGAGGGAAGGCGGGTGTGGGTGGAGGGTTATAAAGGGGAAGAGAAAAATGGGACAACGTAATAGCATAATAAAAAATATACTTAAAAAATACCTAGTCAGAAAAAAAAAAATCTAACACTTAAAAGCCAGTTGCATGGCTCAAGGTCTAGGGAGTCTTAATCACTGATCTCTTCTTTTTGGCTTCCAGGTGGGTTTTGAGGCCCAACTAACACCCACTCATCCTCTCACCACCTGTTCACCTTCAAGACCTGCTACAGCCCAGCAAACCCCAGATGACAGACCATAAAAATAGGTCAACACTAAAAAGCAAGCCTTTTATTATATTACTAAATGTTTGAAATTACAAAAGCGATGAAGTGAGTTAATAATGCAGATTATTCTTTAACATATATGGTATGTACCTACTACATTTTGTACAGCAAAAAATCCAAATACTTTGGAATTACATTACAATATTGAAACAATTATACCCCTTCAAAAAAACTCAATTATTCCATAAAGCAAAAATTACTTGTTATTTAAGGAGTGAAAATGGGTAACATTATAACATATGTCTTTGCTGTTTCACTATCCCATTTGTTGAAGGATAGTAGCCCAAATTAATAAAAAATAGGTAAATTATGTCAACACATAATTTATTAAAAACATATCAGTAGTATATACACACCTGCAAAAATGCTCAGCATAAATGTTTAGAGAAATGCAACTAAAATAACATAGAGAGCATGATGAACATACAAAAGCTAAAATTCCTAAAAATTAAACAGATCAAGATTTTGTTAGAGTCATAATGAAACCCTTAAACACCATGACTTAAATATGCATAAAGGCACAATTACTTTAGATAGTACTTTGTTAGGTTCTTCAAAATTTAAACATTAAAATTCTGAGACATATCCACACTGTGAACATACAAAATTAAGCATGGGCATTTCCTCAGAAAGTTTTCTCCTGTGTCATTACACAGAAAAAAAAAATACACTTCCTAAAATCTAACCATTTACACCATGAGAACTCTCCAATGTCAAAAGGGTACAGACTTATGGCTAAATATTTCCCATGTTCATGTCATACTTGAAGCCTTTAACCAGCGTGAATTGTAATTAAGGTGGCCATGACTACGAGGTAAAAGATTTCCCACATTTGATGTCCCTATAAGGCCTAATTTTGTGTAAACTCTCTGATGATAAGAAAAGAAAAATGATAGAAAAAGAATTCACTGTACTCTTAAGGCCTTCACCTAGGGTGAAATCTCTGAATATAATGGACTTTAGTGTTACAAGAAAAAATTTTCTCATATTGTGCCCTGGCTGGCATAGCTCAGTGGACTGAGCACGGGCTGCGAACCAAAGCATCCCAAGTTCGATTCCCAGTCAGGGAACATGCCTGGGTTGCAGGCCACGGCCCCCAGCAACCGCACATTAATATTTCTCTCTCTCTCTTTCTCCCTCCCTTCCCTCTCTAAAAATAAATAAATAAAATCTTAAAAAAAATTTTCTCATATTGCATGTATATATAAAACCTATCAGATTTGTCACCTCTGATAAAATACAAAGGGAATGTCCAGAAATACAAGATTTCCCAAATTTTCTTAACTTATAAGAACTGAATCATTGTGAATTTTCTGATGACAACAAAGGCCATGGCTACTGGTAAAAGATTCTCCATATTGAAAGGACTCAAATGGCATTTCTATGATGCAAACTCTCTCATAATAGAATTTACTGAAGCAACAAAGACTTCCCACATTTACTGGAACATAAGGCCATTCCTCAGTGTCAACTCCCTGATGACATGGAGGCATATGCTAGAGATAAAGGATTTTCCACAATCACTGCAGTCATAAGGCCTTCCTCCAGTGTGAAGTTTCATACAATAAAAAAAGGTTAATGATTAAAAAAATATCCCGTATCACTACAGCTATAAGGCCATTCTCCTGGGTGAACTCACTGATGACAATGAAAGTTAATGCTACAAATAAAAGATTACCCACATTCACTGCACACATAGGGCCTTTCTTTTGTGTGAACTCTCTGATGCTAATGGAGACAAGTGCCACATGTCAAAGATGTCCCCAGTTCACTACACTTAAAAACACTTTATCCAGTGTGAACTCCTCTATGATGACAAAAGGCAGAGCTACTCATATGTTTTTCCACATTAACCATACTCATACAGGTTTCTCTGCCGAATGAACCCTATAGTGCTGAAAAAGGGCAGAGCTTTGTCTAAAACATTTCTTACATTCACTGCATTCATAAGGCTTTTCTCCAGTGTGAACTCTCTGATGACAGCGAAGGGCAAAGTTACTAGAAAAAGATTTCCCACATTCACCACACTCGTAAGGCCTTTCTCCAGAGTGAACTCTCTGATGATAACGAAGAAGAGAGCTACTGGGAAATGATTTTGAACAATCGCTGCACTCGTAAGGCCTTTCTCCAGTGTGAACTCTCTGATGGTTAAAAAGGGCAGAGCTCCAAGTAAAAGATTTTCCACACTCACTGCACTCATAAGGCCTTTCCCCAGTGTGAACTCTCTGATGATTACGAAGAACAGAGCTAATGGTAAAAGATTTCCCACATTCACCACACTCATAAGGTCTTTCTCCAGTGTGAAGTCTGTGATGGTTACGAAGGGCAGAGCTCCTGGTATAAGATTTTCCACATTCACTGCACTCATAAGGCCTTTCTCCAGTGTGAACTCTGTGATGCTTATGAAGGTTAGAGCTCCTGGTAAATGATTTCCCACATTCACTACACTCATAAGGCCTTTCTCCAGTGTGAACTCTCTGATGTCTATGGAGGTCAGAACTACTAGTATAAGATTTACCACATTCACTACACTCATAAGGCCTTTCTCCACTGTGAACTCTCTGATGATTACGAAGAGCAGAGCTTATGGGAAAAGATTTACCACATTCACCACATTCATAAGGCCTTTCTCCAATGTGATCTCTCTGATGTCTACGGAGGGCAGAGCTCCAGGTATAAGATTTCCCACATTCACTGCACTCATAAGGCCTTTCTGGAATGTGAACTCTCTGATGGTTATGGAGGTCAGAGATATTGGTAAAAGATTTCCCACATTCACAACATACAAAGCACTGTCCTCCTGTAATGACATTCTTATCTTCAACAAGTGTGTCGTCAAAGCCAAAAGCTTCCTTGCATTCTCCTGGGTTATAATAGTATTTTGTACTTGTCATTCCAGACTTTTGACAAGTCATTCCAGACTGAGAGATTTTGTTTGCCCTGTTCATGGTGTGAGTATCCTGTTGCTCAAGATGTCCTGAGGTGATAGTGAAGTCTTTTCCAACCTGACTAGAGGTACAAGGATTCCATGTCATATGGGAATTGCAGCTCTTTCCAAGTGAGACACTGTCCACACTACTTATGAAACCATTCTGTGTTGTGTCCTGTTCCTGCTGCTGGTGACTCTGTGCACTGAAATAAAATGGTTTTGCACATGCCCCACACTGCAGCAGGGTCAAGCTGTGTTGTGTTCCCTGCTGGTCAACCAGAAGGAAAATGTCTCTCAAGACCGGCCCACATCTCTCACAGGGGTGGCTCTTCTGGGAAGACAAAGCTGCCTTTGGATTCTTCGACTTTTGTTCACTGGGTGCCTCCACATTCTCTGCTCCACAGCAGCAACCTGAACAGAAACAAACGCTGGTAAAGTAAATACTGAACTATAAGGAAGGGGTTTTCTCATCACAAATTTGTATCCATCATATCTAGTTATGATTCCATGTGAAAAATTTCTAAGACAAGCAAGATGGACACTGAGAAAGGAGTTATTTTGCCTACTAGGCCAGTAAGGTCAGTAAATGATGAGGAATTCAGTAATCGAAAGACACACTACGATAGGACGGGCCACCAGGAACAGAGGCAAGGTTTAAGGGTTGTTCCACTGCAGATGGCTGCCTGCAAAATCCTTCCTGCTGGCGATGTCAGGCTGTGTGGAGGACGTGAATGTGCCCATAACCATGAAAATAAACCACAGCAGAGCAGATGCTGTGCAAGGTTTGTACAGAGACATGTGCACACATATGGTGCTACAGTCATTAACCAGAGTTGGAGAGCACACCAAAAAGATTCTTTAGAGAAATGGTTGTGATATACAGGTTAGAGACACTGAAATTATCCACAGCTGGAAGTCAGAGTAGAAATGACAACTATTAAAAGTAACAAACGGACAGTATGCCAACACTGGAAATGGACAAGTTGATTAAAGTGTGGCCACTGGCAATGGTGACAAAATACAGTTAAACAGAACAGGTTCCTCATTATATTTTAACAAAACCTTGGAATCAAATTCTCCTCGACTGCCATTCACCTACACCAGAGCCCCTCTGACGCCATCCTTTCATGGCTAGAATCCTGTCCCACTTGTGCTACACAAAGAACTCTTCCACTTCCCTCCGAGTTGAGCAGTCACATCAAATACTAATGATACAACTTGTAAGAGAAAACAGAAGTGATGCATAACCAGCTCTGTCATAGCACAAGTCAGCACAAACAGTTCAAAGGAAAAAGATCTATGTGAGTGATGACAGCAAGATGGAAGAATAAGAAATACAAATATTCAACCCCCTTCAACATTGATTAGACAATTATCCATGATAAAAAGCAGCCACTGAGAAAAAGGGCAAATGCTTAAGGCACCAGTTTTTTCCAACAAACCATGAAGTGGAGCATAAAACAAAGAACTGCACAGACGATTGCAGGAGAGACTGGGTTAGCAAAGATGTTTAGATTTAGAAGAAAGGTGAGAGCTTCCTCTCCAAGCCACTATGCTACCTTGGACCTTAGTGGCCATTTTGTGAAGACCAGTGCAAACTTTGTCAGGGAGTACTTTAGGATTCTCTGTAATATCTGCAAACTCTTCACAGATTTAATCTTAAAGGAACCTGTAGAGTTTGTCAGCATGGATATCAAGAGGAATCCCCTTGCTCACAACATCACTTATGAAAGAATAACATCAGTGTTTCCCCAGCAATCTTTGCCACCAAAGACTGCAGTGGAGATTGCTAAGCACTTACACATCCACTCCCCTGGCCACAGGCAATGCCTACAGTTTTTACTACTCTGACCTCAGCTGATGGGCCAGCAAGGAAATTAGAAATGAAATGTGTCTTCACCCAAAACACAACACAGAACCTACTAAGTACCTTTGTATCCACAAGCCGATAAAAGTACATCTCACCCTGGCTAGTGTTGTCAGTGGGTTCAGCATCAGCCTGTGAACAGAAATGTTGCCCACTGAAATCCAGCTCCTGGCACATGCCTGCATTGCAGGCAAGACCCCAAATTAGGGTGTATGAGATGCAACCAACTGATGTTTCTTAGGCACACTGATGTTTTTCTCCCTCCCTAAACTTCTCTTGAAAAAAATTAATAAATAAATAAAGTTTTAAAATAAAAACTGCTACTCTAACAGACTTGGTCCACAAGGTCTTAAAAGGTAAGTGTTTCACCCAATCTTCAGCCATCACACTAAGCAAAAAGAAATAAGGGGAAAAAATCACAAAAGAAACATCATAATTTTAAAATTAACTACCAACAAATGGAGGTATACACACTGCCAGACAAACATGCAAATAATAATTTTTAAAAACCTCACTGAGGTACAAGAAAATACACATGGAATTCAACATAATGAATAAACAAATATAGGAACAAAACATAGGGTTCAGAGAGGCAAAAATCATAAAAAAGAATGAAACACCTGGCTGGGTGGCCCAGTGGATTGAGAGCAGGCCTGCAAAGCAAAGGGTCACCAGTTGATTCCCAGTCAGGGCATATGCCTGGGTTGCGGGCCAGGTCCCTAGTTAGGGGTACATGAGAGGCAACCACACATTGATGTTTCTCTTCCTCTCTTTCTCCCTCCCTTCCCCTCTCTCTAAAAATAAAGAAATAAAATCTTTTAAAAAAGAATGAAACAGACATTTGGAGTTGAAGAATACAATGAATAAAATAAAAAATGCAAACACAGTTTTAAATTTAGACAAGATGGAGGAGTAAAATAGATCATCTCAGAGACAGGTTATATGAAATCATCCACGTTAGAGAAAAATTTTTAAAAAGGAGTGGCTGAGGCTGGTGTGGCTTACTGGGGGAGCACTGGCCTGTGAATTGAGGGGTCGCTAGTTCCTTTCCAGGTCAGGGTGCATGCCTGGGTTGCAGGCCAGGTCCCTAGTTGGGGTGTGTGAGAGGCAACCGATTGCTGTTTCTTTTACATGTCAGTGAAAAGAAAATTGAAACAAATAAAAAAGGAATGTAGGCAGCCTAGATGAATTTTGGAACTCCACAGAAACAACCTATATCTGAATTATGGGAGTCCCAGAAGAGGTAAAAAAGAATGAAAAAGAGAGACAGAGAAAAAAATGGGGGAAGGAGAGGAATAAAATTTTATTTTAAAAAATTAACTAAAGATTGACTTCAAAAATGAAAAAGAAATGTAAATAACTATGTTTATAATCCCCAGAGGTCCCTGTACAGATTCAAGCAAACAGGACTTCAGAAAGGCACATTATAATAATAAAAATGTCAAAAATCAAAAGCAGCCCTGGCTGGTGTGGCTCAGTGGACTGAGTGCTAGCCTATGAACCAAAGGGTCACTGGTTCGATTCCCAGTCAGGGCACATGCCTGGGATGCAAGCCAGGCCCCCAGTAGGGGGCCTTTGAAAGGCAACCACACATTGATGTTTCTCTCCCTCTATAAAAATAAATAAATAAAATCTTAAAAAAAAATCAGCCCTGGCTGGTGTAGCTCAGTGGATTGGTGTAGCTCAGTGGATTGAGCACAGGCCTGCGAACCAAAGGGTGGCCGGTTTGATTCCAAGTCAGGGCACATGCCTGGATTTCAGACCAGGCCCCCAGTGGGGGTGCACAAGAGGCAAACACACATTGATGTTTCTCTCCCTCTCTTTCTCCTTCCCTTCCACTCTCTCTAAAAATAAAGAAATAAAGTCTTAAAAAAATCAAAGGCAAAGAGAACTTTGAAAGACCAAACAGAACAGAAACCCCTCATATACAGGACAACACTCCTATAGGACTATCAGTAGAGTTCTCTGAAGAAACCTTGCAGGCTAAGAGAATGTCAAATCATATATTCAAAACACTAAAAGAAAACATCTGCACACCACCAATACTTAAACCAGAAAACCTCTTCCTCAGAAATAACAAGAAAAAATTTCCCAGAAAGGCAAAAACTGAAGAAGTTAATTTCCACTCACCTTAATTTACTAGAAATGCCAAAAGAAGTTCTTTGAGCTGAAATAAAAGCATAGTACACAGAAACAGGAAAATGTAGCAAAGTGTAAAACTCTTTGATAAGGCTGGAAATGTCGTCAAGTTCCCAATACTAAAACAGTTCATAGGTGGAGTGTACTTTATTTAATTTTATTATATAGGATAAAAACAAAGTATATTAAGAATAACAATGGTGACAATAATTTGTGGATATATAACATATAAAGATATGAACTGTGACATTAAAACATATAAGGGGTTGTGGCAGAGAGTCAAGGGTAGAATTTTTGCATGCAACTAAAGCTTTTTTTAGGTTACAATAATATGTCAAGAGTATGAATTGCTTTATGGAAGTCTAATGGAAACCACAAGCACAATCCTATATAATGGGTACACAAAAGTGAAAGGAATCAAGGCATACCACTATAGAAAAGGATTAAATCACACACAAAAAAGCAAGAGTGGAACACAAATAAGGAACTACAAAAGAGGCAGAAAACAGTAACAAAGTGGCCATAATAGGTCTTTCAACAAATTTTCCAATCAAGAGACATAAAGTGGCTGAACGGATTAAAAAAACAAAAGGCACAATTGCATTTGAGATTTTGCTTTTTGGCCATTGACATCAGTTTGGCTCAAATAAATGCTTATAAAAATTATCATGATGTGTGAAAAGGGTGAAGAGATTAAGAAGTACAAATAGGCAGTTACAGAATAGTCATGGGGATGTAAAGTATAGCCCAGGGAATACACTTAGCAATATTCTAATAACTATGTATGGGTTCAGATGGGTGTGGGATTTATCCGGATGATTACTTAATAAGTTACATAATGTCTAGTCATTGGGGTACACACATGAAACTAACATAATAATGTATGTCAACTTTAAAATTTTCACATTTATAAAAAATAAATAACTAAAAAAATAATTTGAGGCCTGGCTGGGCTTCTTTTTTATTAACCACCCGCCCCCCCCCGCCCCGCCCCCAAGACACAACACATGCTGCCTCCAACAGACTCACTGAATGTTTATGGACAAATCTGGTGAAAGTAAGGAGATGTAAAAATAGTCTATACAAATAATACCAAATCGAGCAGGAGTATGGAAAATTCTATCAGACAAAAAAGACAAGCTCAAAGACTGCCACAAGACAAAAGTTCAACCTAAAATGATAAATGAGAGAATTCATTAAGAAAATAACAATTTTAATTACTATGCACCCAACCACAGAGCACTTAAGTACATCAGGACAATATGAGATGAAGGCAGGAAATGTGATGCAGCAGTACTAGACAACAAAATATTCTCCTTTCAACAATGGGTAGATCATCCTGTTCAAAAGCAATAAAGGATTATTTAACTTTGCTACCCTTTAGACAAAACAGAACTAATAAACATATATAAAATATTTTATCCAGCCTTGGCAGGGTGGCTCTGTTAGCTGGAGAGTTGTCCAGTACAGTAAGTTTGTGGATTTAATTTCAAGCTGGGGTGAGAATGGGAGGTGACTGATAGATGCTTTGATGCTTTCCTGTCACACTGATGTTTCTCTTTCTCACTGCCTTACTCTCTCTCTCTAACAGTCAATAAACATCCTCGGATAAATATAAATATAAATACAAATATAAATATATAATCCACAGGAAGATAAAAAATACTTTTCCTTACCTATCAATGTGAAATCTGTTAGGCTTCTGGCAACACTGATGACCTCAAATATTTTTCTATGAGAGCTTAGTACAGCAGGTATTGGGGCAGCAGGGAGAGTAGGGGGCAGTACAAATAAGCCAGTCCCGCCAAATCCAGGTTCTACGCAGAAAACTGGGGAGGCTAACAGTGTACACAGTCCACATATGAGGACAGAGCAACATCTGAGTAATGAAGAGCATGGAAATAGAAAGCCTAGTCCAGCTCACTGAAGAACAGTAGGTCCCCCCCCGCTTTTTTTTTTAAAGTGAGGGTTAGTTTATTAAAATTTGAGACAATGACACAAAAAGAAGGATCTCTGGAGACAGGATCAGGGGTGAGCTCAAGACAAGCCACTGTTGCCCATTGCCTCCTGGGTTCAAGTCAGTTCAGGACCCTTAGAACATAGAATAGAAGAGGTAACTACAAGCCTGAAGAAAGGGGGTGCACACATGCCAAAGAAGAGTACAGTACAACTGAGTGTCTTACCCAGCGAAGATATAAGAGCAAAGTTCTCCAGCATCACATCAAGGTACAGAAGTCTCTGAGCTTCATCAAGGAGGCGCCATTCTGTCCTGGAGAAATATACCGTGACATCCTCAAAGGTCACAACATCCTGTCAAAATTAATACAAATGAATCAGAAACAATCTGTCTGAGAAACCCCCTAATTCTACTCCATATAAAGTTTACCAAGCCTGGCTGGCGTAGCTCAGTGGATTGGGCGCAGGCTGTGAACCAAAGTGTCGCAGGTTTGATTCCCAGTCAGGGCACATGCCTGGGTTGCAGGCCCACGGCCCCCAGCAACCGCACATTGATGTTTCTCTCTCTCTCTCTTTCTCCCTCCCTTCCCTCTCTAAAAATAAATAAATAAAATCTTTAAAAATAAATAAATAAAGTTTACCCACACCCACACCCCTCCAGGACCCCCAGTTCAGAGAAGACACCAGACCTTAGCCCCAGTGCTGCCTCCTGTCTCATTACAGTCTCATTCAACACTCTTACTGCCTCAGCAACAATACCAAAGATAGGATATGCAGCAGACGATTAGCATCTATGCTCAGGTCCAGACCTGAAGGTCTCCATCCCTCAGGCCCAGCAATTCCACTGAGTCTCCCAGCTTATGCGAAGACACAGTCAACCATGGGCTTATGCATCACCCTTAAATCCCCACACCAGGTACCCAGGACCATCAATTCTAGGACCAGGACCACTTCCTCTAGCTGTGCACACAGTGTGACCTCTACCTCCTTTACATCTTCACATCCTGATTCACTCCCTCAGCTCTGCTACCCCTTGTTAGACACCACAAGCATCTATCTCCCTGAAATCACCCATAAATTTAGCATATGGTTTCCAGAGGAGGCTTTGATATGTCAGAATGGTCCACTATAACGGAGGCAGGTCAGAAAAAAGGCAAAAATCCTGACAGGGGAGGGAGGACTAGGAGCCCAGGTCCTCTCCCGGGAGCCCCTACCTCTGGGCACCAACAAAGGGAAACAGCAAAAGGCAGGAAGCCCCTGCGTCAATCACGGATGGAAACTACAAGGACCCCTCCCAACCAAGAAGGCACACTCAGAACCTGACACCACAAAGCTTGGAGACAGAAGTCCCCACCCTGGAAAGCAGATAAAGTCCCGAGAATGCTCTCAGCACTCGCTCTTGTCTCTCTGGTTGGCCCGAGTCCACTCAGAGGCACACGTTTTGCTTCCTCCACAGTGGCGCTCACACTGGCCTCCTTTTCTTCTACCAGAATAAAACTTGCTTTAGTCTCACAACGATTTGTCCTTCAAACCTTCCTGGGCCAGCCAAGGACCTGAAGGTTGTCTGTCTGACATGGGAAATTTTAGAAACGTCCAGGGCAGGATCGCCCCCGGCACGTTGGAGGTTTAACGAGAACACCGCCGTCGGCCCCTCAGCCCGTCACCGTCCCCACCACGTCACACGATGTGTCACCTACCAGTGCCTCACGGCCCGGAGGCCGGGGCCTAGATGCAGAGCACGACAGGCGCCCCGCACCCGGGCTGCAGGGCTCGGCGGGCTGAGGACAGAAGGCCAGGGGGACGCGTACTCACCTCAGCGGGGCGCCTCCGCTCGGCGGCAGCCGCCGCCGGACTCCGTGGGCGGAGCAGGGCGGGAGCGGCGGGCCACGGGGGTGTCGCTGTTGTTGGAGTACCTGTCTCAGCCCTGGCACCAGACACGCGAACAGCGTCGCTGTCCCTCACCTCTACTGAGGTGACCGGCACTCTGGCACCTTCCACGCTCGACATTCTGATCAGAAGATACTGACCACGTAATAATGAAACTGAGAGCACAGAAACGCCAGGCTCGGAAAGCCACGGAAGTCCCGCCCCACAGTGGAGCGCAAAGGCAAGGCTTCTCTGAGTTTTTATTGGCTCAACATCCTGCTATTCCACGCCTGCCTTTTGGGTAATGTAGTTCTTACCCTCCAAACCGGGATCCTGTATTTCCACAGCTGTCTCCAGGAGTGTTTTGCGGACTTACACCACAGGAATACAGAGAATACTGTTTATTCACTGTGGCGCCCCAGTGAACATCATTTCTTGGGTGACGAAGTCTCCAATAGACCCGCAAAACCTTTGATTGAGGGCATGTGACATGTGGTTTCTTCAGGCTGAGCGTGGTTGAGGGGAGGTTGCCCAAGTCCCTGAGGCTATGTATCCTGCCTTAGTTGAACACACTTTTCAAAGTTAATATAAAAAGTATACACTGATTCTTATGTGCATTAGTGCCTCATGCAGCCAAAAGTCTTATCTCTGCCTGTGCAAAAGTGTGACTAGATTCCACACTGATTTGATTGGATGCCTCTGACTTAAATTATAACTTTTTTTTGCAAACCATGGAGTACATGTTGAAGACATCAGACACGCAATTACAGGAATTCAGCGCGGAAATTGCATGTATAGGTTCACACGATCCAATTGCATATGCTAATAATGCTAGTTACTCTCATTTGTTTGTTCCCCAGTGCATATTGCAGTCTATTAAACATGCAACAGCACTAGCACAAAAATGAAAATATACACACCGTACTGTAAAAATACTTTATTGATTGTAAAAAGCAAACCATTACCTGAGCCTTCATTAATTTGCATACAATCTTTGTGCAGGTAGAGGGTCTTGCATTCCTATTGAAGAGAACACATTATCTCTCAAGCACAATAAAGTATATCTCAATAAATGGGGGTATCCGCACATAGGAAAATGTGTAAAATTTTACTACATAACAACCCAATTATCCAATTAAAAATATGACAACTATGTCATAAGAATATAGGACACACTTTTGAAAATAAAAAATGTATAATATAAACATAAATGGGTGTCTATTTACTTATAGTCTAAATGTCAATAAATTCTTGAAAAAACTGGCAGAAATAAATTGTGACAAAGTTACTGGAATTTTTGTTAATGTGAAAAAAAAATGGTATTGTAATTACCATAACAAAGGGAAACTTGTGAGTTAGAGACATAATTACTGACTCATAGGTGACATGGTAAGTATGGCATTGTCAATGCAAAAGGTTTAGGAACATATTCAGGAATTATATTTTGTGAGACACCAAGACACACGTGAAAAACCTGTCAATAAATGGTTGTAAAATGCAACTAGTGATACAATCAAGCACTTAAAGAAACTTCAAGCTAAAGGATGGGAATGATGTTAGAATTCAATAAGAGTGTGAACTGAGCCTCCAAATGAACTGACACCTCATCTCTGCTTAGGGGACCATAGCTGTTCCCATGTTTATAATTCTCTTTAACATGATGGACACTTAATCTTTCTTACATATATTGAATACTAAAAAGTGTACTTGTATTTCTCTAATAATGGGGAAAATCACCTAGACTTATGGCTAAGTGACAGTTTACTGCAAAAATGAAATGACATCAAAACAATGCTCTAAAGTCCAAGGTCACTCAAAGGGCTGCTCAGCACTGCTCCATCTGTTAAAAATCGAAAATCAGTACCACAAGGGCTTTAGAGATTCAGCTATAATCCAAGACATTCTATTGACAGCAGTGAGGATGGAAGAAACAGAACTAGAGTCAATTTTCAGAGTGTGCATGTATGCCACCTAGTGACTTCAAATGGATTGTTAAGAAAACGTCATGGAAGCAGATTGAAAATATCACAAAGGATGCTCAGCACTCACCCTTTTCTCTGAAAAGTCCCATGAGCTATATAATTCATCTAACTGGGCTGTGTAGGCATAGATTCAATCTGATTTGGCCAAGTGGCCCATGTCGAGCAATCAGGAGAAAGAATATCAGCTGTGACCAGAGTGCACTAGGCAGCTGATGAGGGTTCTGATCCTAGCAGAAGGATCATGTTCCTACCCAAGGATCTTTGGTGCAGACATGGAGACACTGAAAAGGAGCATGTGGCTGCTGGAAATAGTCAGGGCTGCAGGGAATACAGGATGAGCATCAGTGTCTCCTCCAGCCAGTCCTGGGCAGAGTAAAGGATCCAGTAGGCACTGTGTTTGCTGTATGAGGAGGTGAACACTCTACCAGGGAGATAACAATACTATAGGTCTCCAGCATCACTTTTCAATATGTCCCAGGTATCACATCCCACTGTCCTCAAAGGCCAATAGACAAAATGCAGCCAAGGCTCAACATTGTTTTCCCTGGAGAGATCACTGGAAATCAGACAGGATTCCCATGAATGCTGTGAGGCAGGTGTTAAGCCCTTTAAGACATCAGAAAAATGCAGAAAAGTCATGATAATTGCAACAATGAAAACAACAGCAACAGCCGAGTTTCCCATATCAACAGTCTTCCCTGTCTCTCTGCCCTGGTCTGAGGCCTTAATACACCACAATAAAGAATGTCATCACTCTGGCTGGCTTAGTTCAGTGGATTGGGCGCGGGCTGCGAAACAAAGCATCGCAGGTTTGATTCCCAGACAGGCCACATGCCTGGGTTGCAGGCCACAGCCCCCAGCAGCTGCACATTGATATTTCTCTCTCTCTCTCTCTCTCTCTCTCTCTCTCCCTCCCTCCCTCCCTCCCTCCTCTAAAAATAAGTAAATAAAATCTTTTTAAAAAATGTAAATAAAATCTTAAAAAAAAAAAGTCACCAATTCTACCATCAGAATTACGAGGTTGAATACAGAATTTGGATCTGACATTTGTCTGCTCTGACCTTGGAAAAACCCTTCTTCCTGATCCTTTATTTCCCCAGAAATACAGTAAGTTATTAACCCACAGGATGCAGTTGAATTAAGAAAATAATTGAAAAGCAAATCCTGTCATACAAGTACCTGGAAGTGTGTACTGAATTTCATTAACTCTGTTGATTCTCAAAAGGGCCATGATTTGTGCCTTCATTAATTTCATGTAGCAAGTGAGATTGGGGGAGTTTTATGGTCACCCAGAGGTACCACACAGGGGAATCCATATGGCAAGCCCTGAAGCCACATTGTCCCATGTGGGGTCTGTACAGATGCAGCTGATATGGGGGATCAGAGAAGCTCCATTTATTTTTCACAAGCACCCAGGGAAGGTCTGAGGTGTCTGGCCTGTGCATGGCACCCACAGGAGATAACTGGTGGTATCGCTACTGCCTTTGAAATGAGCACCAAGGCCGGGATAAAAACTGCTGTTCACCCATATTTTACACAGGAGGAAACTGAAGCCCATTAAGTACACTATGTTCCTTTAATTATAAAAATGTTCCATAATCTTAAAATTAATTGCAAGTTGCATGGCCGAAGGTATGGGAAGTCTAAACACTCACTTCTTCTCTTTGGCCTCCAGGAGGGCTTTGAGGTTCAACAAATATCCATTCATCCTCTTACTACCTGGTGCACCTTCAAATGCTGCTACAGGCAGCCAACCCCAGATATTAGACCATAAAAATGGGTGAACTCTAACAAGTAAGGCTTTTTATTATATCACTAAATGTATGAACTTACAAAGATGATGAAGTATGTTAATAATGCAGGGTATTCTTTAAAGTATATAATATGTACCTATTACACTGTACAATAAAAGAAAGTCCCAATGAATAGGTCATTTTGCCACTATTAAAAAATTATTCCATAAACAAAAAATTACTTCTCATTCAAGGACTCAAAGTAGGTGACATTGCAACATTTATCTTTGCTGTTTCACTGTCCTATTTGTTAAAGGAGAATAGCCCAAAATCATGAAAGAATAGGTAGCTTGGTGAGCACACATTTAACAACATTTAACTAACAACACATCAATAGTACATACACTCCTACAAAATGCTCATCATGAATCCTTACGGAAATGCAACTAAAACAAGAGCATATACAAAATCAGGAAGAGCTGAAATTAATAAAAATTGAACATATCAATATTTTGTTCAATTATATATGTTCAATTATATATGTTCAGCTATGATGAGGAAATGCAGCCCTCATGCACTGAGTAAAAAGGTATAAAAGACCCTAGCCAGTGTGGCTAGGTTGGTTGGAGCATTATCCAAAGTTGAAAGGTTGCAGGTTTGCCACCTGGTCAGGGCACATAAGTTGGTTGGGAATGCAATCCCCAGTCCAGGTACATGTGATCCCTGGTCCAGACAGGCAAACAATCAATGTGTCTCTCCCTCCCTTCCTGTCTGTAAAAGCAGTGAATCAGATATCCTAGGATGAGGACAAAAAAAATAAACAAACGTCCAAAGTGTGCATAAAGACACAATTAGTTTAATAATACTTTGTCACACTCTACATAACATAAACATTAAACTTATGAATAGCTCTGCATTGAGAATATTGGTAAAAAAATAAAGTCACCTTTTCCTCAGCAAGGTTCCTTCAATACCATTATACTGAAAAATAAAAAATAAAAAATTTCTTAAAATCTATCCATTTACAGTGAGAAATCCCCAATGTCAAAAGGTATAGATTTATCGGTAAAGGTTTCCTATATTCACTTCACACTGAAAGCCGTTAACCAGTGTCAAGTGTGTTTAAGGTGGTGAGGACTATGAGGTAGGAGATTTCCCATATTTTATGTCCACATAAGGCCTATCTCCAGTGTGAATGCCCTGATAACAGGAGAATGGATAGAAGAAGCATTTCCCACATCCACTGTACTCATAAGGCCTTTTATCAGAGTGAATCTCTGAATATAATGGAGCTTAGTACTACAAGAAGAAAATTCCTCACATTGCCTGCATACATAAATCCTTTTTCCTATGTCAGCTCTCAGATATAACAAAAGAAATACTAGAAAATAAGAGATTTCTTGAATTTCCTTAACTTATAAGACCTTACCCATTGTGAATTCTCTGAGGACAATGACAGCCATGGCTCCTGGTAAAGGATTTTTCACATTTACTGCAGGCATAAGGCCATTCTCCTGGATGAAACTTTTGATGATAAAAAAGGTACTGATAAAAAGAAATCTCATATTCCTTGCAGCCATTGACCAATCAACGAAGTGAACTCTCTGATGACAACGAAATGTTACAGATGTTTTCTAATATTCACTGCATTCATAAGGCTTTTCTTTTGTGTGAACTCTGTGATGCTAACAGAGGTGACAGCTACAGGTAAAAGATTTGCCACATTCACCACACTCATAAGGTTTTTCTCCAGTGTGAACTCTGTGATGATAACGGAGGGCAGAACTACTGGTGAAAGATTTTCCACATTCACTGCACTCATAAGGCCTTTCTCCAGTATGAATTCTCTGATGATAATAGAGGGCAGAGCTACTGAAATAAGATTTCCCACATTCACTGCACTCATAAGGTCTTTCTCCAGTGTGAACTCTGTAATGTTTTCTGAGATCAGAGCTACTGGTAAAAGATTTCCCACAATCACCACACTGAAAAGGCCTTTCACCAGTGTGAACTCTGTGATGTTTACGGAGGGCAGAATTACTAGTAAAAGATTTGCCACATACACCACACTCATAAGGCCTTTCTCCAGTATGAACTTTCCGATGATTATACAGGGCAGAGCTACTGATATATGATTTACCACATTCCCCACATTCATAAGGCCTTTCTCCAGTGTGAACTCTGTGATGTTTACGGAGGGCAGAACTATTGGTGAAAGATTTCCCACATTCACTGCACTCATAAGGCCTTTCCCCTTTGTGAACTCGCTGATGATAACAGAGAGCAGAACTACTGGTAAAAGATTTCCCACATTCACAACACTCATAAGGTCTTTCTCCAGTATGAACTCTGTGATGTTTTCGGAGGTCAGAGCTCCAGGTAAAAGATTTCCCACATACACGGCACTCATAAGGCCTTTCTCCAGTGTGAACTCTCTGATGATAAAGGAGATCAGAGCTACTGGTAAAACATTTCCCACATGCACCACATTCATATGGCCTTTCTCCAGTGTGAACTCTCTGGTGTTTATGGAGTGCAGAGCTACTAGTAAAAGATTTTCCACATTCACTGCACTCATAAGGCCTTTCTCCAGTGTGAACTCTGTGATGTTTCCGAAGGGCAGAGCCACTAGTAAAAGATTTCCTACATTCACTGCACTCATATGGCTTTTCCCCAGTGTGAACTTTCTGATGATAACGAAGACCAGAGATTCCTAGAAAACATTTTTCACATTCATGGCATGGATAACATCGTCTTCTAGTTTGGACAGCTTGGTCTGGAAGTGGTGAGTGTTTGCAGCCAATGGCTTTCTTACATTCGTTTCTAGTGTGATAAATTTTTCTCCTTTGAAAATCCTCCCCAGATGCTGACATTTCATTTGCACTTTCCCTGGTGTTAGTAGCTTGTTGTTGGATATTTCCTGAGTTCATAAAAACGTTCTGCTCAAGCTCCTGGAAGGTAAAAGTCTTTTCAGACACATTGAAATTGCAGCCCTTCACAAGTGAGGCCTTGTCCACACCTTGTACAAAAGACTTCTGTCTCAAGTGCTGCTCCTGGAGCTGGTGATGCTTTGCAATGAAACAAAATTGTTTTCCACATGCTCCACACCTCAGCAGTTTCTGTCTCTGTTGAGTTCCCTGCTGGTCAACCAAGAGAAAAATTTCCCTCAAGACACACCCACAACTGTCACAGGGGTGGCTCTTTTTGGAAGACAACGCTGCCTTGGGATCCTTTGCTTGCAATACTCTTACAGAATGGTTCTGTTCATTGGGAGCTTCCATATCCACTGCCCCACAGCAGCAACCTGAACAAAAACAAATGCTGGTGAATTTGAAGTTGACTTAGTAGAAAAAGAATATTCCCAACACAATAGCCCTTTTGCAAAGCTAGACATGATTCTATGGGCTGATTTTCAAGACAAAGAGTTAGATTCTCTGGTAATAGCTGTTATTACTAGTTGGCCCCAAAGGTCAGTAAATAGTGGATACCTCACCACAAAAGATACAACCACAGAATGAAAAACAAAGAAAAGAGGTAGGGCTTACTAGCTGTTCCTCCATAAATGGCTTCCTGAAGGGCCTTTCCTTCTGGTAATGAGAGTCTCTGTAGAAGTTGAATGTGCCCAAACACAAAAATCAATTGTATTACAGCACATCATGTTCAAGGTCAAAGTAAGAATACGTGAACCCTGACTGATGTGCCTTGTTTGGTTGGAGCATTGACCTGTAAACTGAAAATCTGCAGGTTTGATCCCTGGTCAGGGAACATACCTAGGCTGCAGGGTCAATCCCCATCACCAGTCACAGTGCCTGTGAGAGGCAACCAATTGATGTTTCTCTCTCACATCTCTCTCTATATCTTTTATTCCTCTTACTATAATCAATAAACATATCCACGGGTGCGAATTAAAAAATATAATGCTCAAAAACAGAAGAATATGTGCACACTGTGAGGCTTTATGAACATGGATCAAGTTTGCAGGGTAGTAACGAAAGATGTGTGAGTGAAAGGGTTGAGGTGAAGTGTTTACTAAAAGAGAGATTATTCATAGGCTGTGTATCCTAGGAGAAATGATAACTATTAGAATTGGGTAATAGGGAAAGTATGAACAATAAGGACAAGAAGATTAAGCTGTGGTAGATTAAGTAGATTAAGAATGAAAACAACATACTGCTAAATAAATGGGTTCCTAGTTATAACTTTAATAAAGCTCTGGCATTGAGTCCTCACCAATTGCCATACACCACGTCAGCACCCCTTCTGAGCCCACACAGCCATACATGGAGTCATGCCCCTCCTATGACTATGAAAACACTCTCCCCCTTAACTCTCAGTTGAGCCATTAGTGGGACTCATTACAAGAAATCCTAAAAGAGAAACTGAAGAGGTGGATGGTAAGCAACTATAATAGAACAGGACAGCACAAAACAGACCCAACAAAAAAGTCTTTGTGAGGGACATCAGCAAAACAGCAGAAGACAAGAGAGGAGAATTTCCCCACTTTCCATAAGCAAGTACACAGCTATCCATGAACAAAAACAGTCTTGGAGGAGGAGAATGAGACTTTCATTAAGGCAAACAGCAAAGTAGAAAAGCCAAAATTGGAGAACTACTCAGAAATATTGAATAAAAAGACTGGCTGAGCAAAATTATGTGCAGATGGTGAAGCACAGAAGACAAGGGTCAAAGTTACCTCTGTTAGTCACCATGCAAGCCCTAAGAAACTTTGTTATTTGGAACCACATGAGTCCCTGGAACATGGAAAGAAAAACATGAGAAAAGGAAAAAATAGGTAGAAAGCTTATGAAAATATATCCTGAAAACTGACTTCCCAAGTCTGAGAAGACATGAGAATAATCAAGACTGTGTTTTCTCACTGGTTCCTGTACAATTTAGTGGAAGGGGGACCTCACCAAGACACATTGTAGTAAAAATGTCAAAAATGCAAAGCAAAGAAAATTTTGAAAGCACAAAAAGAACAGAAACATTTCTCACAGAAACAATGCACCCATAATGCTATGTAGTAAATATCCCTGAGAAAAAGTTGAAGACTAGAAGACAATCAAATGATATACTGAAAACACTAAATGAAATAAAATCTTCAAACCAACAGTATTTACTGAGAAAGACTATTCTTCAGAAATAAGAAAGATGTTCCCAAACAAAAGCTGAGGAGTTCATTGTCATTCAACATGACTCGTTAAAATTCCAAAAGAAGTTCTTCAAGTTGAAATGAAAGAATACTTATTAACAGAAACATGAACACATAAAAGATATATAAAACTCACTGCCAAATCTGATAATGGAATCAAATTCACAATATTTCAACACTGCATTGTGGGAATGTAAATTACTAAACACTATTGTAAACACGAAAAAGTAAGACTCGTAAAAACAATAAAGCTAACGTTTTGTACATTAATAGATATACAATTACAAGATGTGGATTGTGATATCAAAAACATAAAGGTGTGGTGTAGTGAAGACTGAAAGGGTAGAATTTTTGTATGCAAAATTTGGCATCAAGAGAAAATAGTGTTGAGTAAATTACTTATTTTATCTAAATCTTTTGGAAACCACAAGCAAATACCTATGTAAAAGATGCACAAAAGACAAGGAAATTTAAGCATACCATTAAAGAAAATGATGAAATCACTAGGGAAAACAATGACATAGAAAGACAAAAAAACAAACTACAAAAGAGCCATAATCCAACAATAAAGTGGCAGTAGTAGGCTGTACAACAAATTCTCCAAGGAAAGCACAGAGTGACTAAAGAAATTAAAGACAAACAAAACATAAGACCCAATATATGCTGCGTATAGGAGACACTTAAATGTTTATGGACAAAAATAGCCTGAAAACAAAAACAGGGAAACATATTCCTTGGACATAAAACCAAAAGACAGAAGGAGTAACTAAAATTCTATCTGGCAAAGATGACCTCAAATATTGTCACAAATGATAAAGGTCATCAAAGAATAGTAAAGGAGTCAATTCACCAAGAGGACAACAATGTTAAGTATTAAGCATCCCACAGCATATGTTAATGATATTAAGCAAATCATATCAGAACTGAAAGCATATAAAACAAGCCCAGTATTAGTTCAGTAGTAGTAGTGAATTTCAATATTCCCCTTTCAACAAAAACTAGGTCACCCATCTAAAAGCACTAAGGAATCACTGAAGCTTGATGATACTTTAGAACAAACAGAACTCATACATTTATACAGAACATCCCACCAAAATGCACCAAGCAGAAGATGCATTTTTGTCAAGAGCACATGAAACATTCTCTAGGTAGATCTTACATTAGATCCAAAAAACAAGTCCCAAACTTTCAGAATATGTCACTTCAAATGTCCTATCTGATCACAGTCATAGAACAGAAGAAATCAATTTTAGTGTTAAGAAAGATGAATATTCACAAATAAGATGAAATTAAACACAACACTCCTGAACAACCACAGACTCAAAGGAAAAATGACAGATCACTCCAAACACATCTAGAGGCAAAAGGAAATAAAAACACAACAACCAAAGCTTACATACATGGAGCACAAAATGCAATGCTAACAGCGCATCTTATAGTGATAAACGCCCACCTCAAGACAAAAGATCTCAAATACACAACCTAACCCTGCAACTCAGGAACCTAGAAACACATGAAGATACTAAACCCAAAGTTAGTAAAGGAGAAAAACAATAAATATTAGTAAAGTCATACACAAAATAAAGGTAAGAAAAACAAAAACAAAAGAATATCATAATTAAGAGCTGTTTTTTGAAACATACACAAAATTGCCAAACCTTCAGCTACACTAAACAAAAGAAACAAGAATCAAATGTACTTAAAAAGAAATGAGGCTTCCAGCCAATATGGAGGCATAGGTAGGTATGTTTCACTTCTGCACATAATAAAATGAAGCATAAAAACAAGTTAAAAAAAAAACCCACCTAACTGCCAGAAAATCGAACTGTATGGAAGCCAGACAACCAAGATGTTAAAGAAGAAACATTCATCCAGACTGGTAGGAGGGTTGGAGACTCCCATCCAGAACAGAGAGGATGCACTGCAAGGCAGCACCTTACAGACCAGGCGGTCCCACATTCACACGGACATAAGCAGGGAGGAACAACTGGGGAGCCAGACACACTGTGCAGCCCAGGGTTCCAGGGGCAGGAAAGAAAATTTCAAACCCTCTGGCTGTAAAAAGCCACAGTGGGGTTGTGGTGGTGGGAGAAACTGTCAGTCTCACAAGAGAGTCCATTGGAGGGGCACATATGGCCCCAGAACATATACAACCCACCCACCAGAAACCAGCACCTAAAGGGCAAAACTCACTTGTGGGAAGCAATGGAACTGACTGAAAGTGAGGTGAGATTTGAGCAAGCATGCTGTTCCCACTCCGACCCCTCCCACACATATAGCCCCACAACACAGTCAAGTGGGTTCCCAGGCCCTGACGAACATCTAAAACTCTGCCCCTTACAAAATAACAGATGCACAGAGACAAAGCATATGGTCCAAATGAAAACATAGATCACAACTCCAGAAAAAGAACTAAATTAGGAGGAGATACACAACCTATAGATGCAGAGTTCAACACACTAATAATCAGGATGCTCGGAAAAATAATTCAGTATGGGCACAAAATAAAGATTGAAGGCTATACAAAGTGAAATAAAGAAAAATATACAGGGAATGAACAGTGAAGGGAAGGAAACCAGGACTCAAATCAACAATTTGGAACAGGAGGGAGAAATAAACATTCAACTGGAACAGAACAAAGAAACAGGAATTCAAAAAAATGAGGAGAGGCTTAGGAACCTCTGGGACAACTTGAAAATTCCAGCATCCCAATCACAGTGGTGCTAGGAGGAAAAGAGGAAGAGCATCAAACTGAACAATATCTTGAAGAATTAATGAAGGAAAACTTCCCCAAACAGGTGAAGGAAATAGACATGCCAGTCCAGTAAGCTCAGAGAGTCCCACAGAAGTTGGACCCAAGGAGGAACACATCAAGACACATCATAATTAAATTACCTAAGATTAAACATAAAGAGAGACTCTTAAAAGCAACAACAGAAAAGGGGTTACCTATAAAGGTGTTCCCATAAGATTATCACCTGATTTCTCAAAAGAAACCTTAGAGGCAAGAAGGGACTAGAAAAAAGTATTCAAACTTATGAAAAGCAACAACCTACATAAAAGATTACTCTATCTAGGCCTGGCTGGTGTAGCTCAGTGGATTGAGCACAGGCCTAGAAACAGGATCGCGGTTCGATTCCTAGTCAGGGCCCATGCCTGGGTTGCAGGTCAGTTCCCAGCAGGGGATGCATGAGAGGAAACCACACATTGATATTTCTCTCCCTCTCTCCTTCCCTTTCCTTCTAAAGATAAATAAAATAAAATAAAATGGTGTCCGGGTTGAGGGGGAGTTGGGGGGAAAATAGAGACAGCTGTACTTGACCAATAATAAACAAACATTAAAAAAAAGATTACTCTATCTAGCAACACTATCACTTAGAATGGAAAACCAGATAAAGTGCTTCCCAGATAAGGTCAAGTTAAAGGAGTTCATCATCACCAGGCCCTTATTATATGAAATGTTAAAGGGACTTATCTAACAAAAAGAAAAAGATCAAAACTATGAACAGTAAAATTACAACAAACTCACAACTATCAACAGCAGGACCTAAAAAACCCCCAAAACTAAGCAACTAGAAGAGGGACAGAATCACAGAAATGTAGATCACAGGCAGGGAGATTAGTGGGAAGGGGGAGAATGGAGGAAATGGTCAAGAGAATAACAAATATCATTGGTAGGTACAAAATAGGAGGTAAAGAACAATATAGGAAATGGAGAACCCAAAGAACTTATATGTATGACCCATGGACATGAACTAAGGGAGGGGAATACTGGAGAGAAAGGGGTTACAGGGCAGAGGGGGATAAAGAGGAGAAAAAGAGGGACAACTATAATAGCATAATCAATAAAATATACAAAAAAAGAAAAAAGAAAAAAATGAGACCTGGCTGGTGTGGCTCATGTGTTGAGTACTGTCCTCTGAAACACAGGGTGGCAGGTTTGATACCTGGTCAGGGCACATGCCTGGGTTACGGGACAGGTGTCCAATTTGGGGCATGTGACAGGTGACCACACATTGGTGTTTCTCTCCTTCTGTTTCTCCCTCCCTTCCCCTCTCTAATGATAAATAAAATCTTTAAGAAAAAGAAAAGAAATGAATGATGAGACTACACCTGACATTACAAGGCACAAAGCAACATAGGGGATATTTGCAGATGACATGACCAAACATACAAAACATTGTCAATATTCCACTATAAACATCTGAAATTGTAAATAGATTCAATAAAAATACAGGACACAGAAGAAACACTCCAATATCAGTTCCATATTTATAGTCTAACAATAAAAACTTTGCAGAGAAATTAAGGTCAAATTCACAACAGCATCAGAACCAATAAAACACTAGAATAAATTCTATAAAGGAGGTGAAAGGCCTATACATTGCACCCTCTAAAACACTGATGAGCCCTGGCTGGTGTACCTCAGTGGACTCAGCGCCAGCCTGAGAACCAAAGGGTCAGCAATTTGATTCACAATCAGGGCACATAGCTGGGCTGCAGACCAGGTCCCTGGTGTGGAGCACAGGAGAGGAAGCCACACGCTGATGTTTCTCTCCTTTCTTTCTCCTGAGCTTTCCCTCTCAAGAAAAATAAATAATTAAATCTTTTTAAAAAATAGACAATGATGAAAGTAGTTAAAGAAAACAAATACATACAAAGACATCCTGTATTCATGGATTTCAAAACTTAATATTGTTAACAAGCCATAATACCCAAAGCAATCTACAGATTAAATGCAATCCCCTTCACAATTCCAAGTTTTTCACACAAAAATTAAAAAAAGAAAATTGTGAAATATAGGAAACCTGAAAAGACCTCAAAGAACAAAAGCAATCTGGACACCAGTGATAAAAATTAGTTCCAAAATAATAAGAAAATTAAATGTCAGTCCAGAAATCCTAAAATTCCTTCAAGACAACATAGAGAAAAAGCTTTGGAGATTTGTATTGGAAATAATGTCCCTGATGTGACACCAACTACCAGGAAAAAAAACAAAAATAGACAATCTTAACTAGAAAAAAACAAATAATCTTTTGCACAGCAAAACAATTAACAAAATGAAAAAGACAGCTACAGGGTGGGAATAAATACTTAGAAACCATGTAAAGATATCTCTTGGAGATACTGTGGCTTCATTTCAGAGCACCACCATAAGAGCAAGTATTTCCATATAGGAAAAAAGTTACACCAATTTTTCACTTTCCCAGTGAATAAAGAAGTTATATTTGTAGTACAGTGCAGTCTATCAACACAGTAGCTTTGTCTAAAAAAAGTCTAAATACTTTAATTCAAAAGTTTATTGCTCAAAATTGCCAACAAGTATCTCAAGCTGCTATTAAAATGGCAGCAGTACATTTGCTCACTGAAGTGTTGCCTAAAACATTGAATTTGTAAAAACACAATACCTGCAAAGTACAATAAAGGAAAGTGTAAAAACACATGCACCTGAATCAGATGAGAAATTTATCAAATACACAAGGTGTTCAAAAGACTCAGTAGCCCACCCTGGCCTGTAGGTGCGTTGCTTAGGGAAAACGTTCTGATACTCAAAGGTTCAGAGGCCCATCCTCAGTCAGAACACACAAGAATCAATCACAAATAAGTACAAGAAGTCAATGTTTCTCTGTCTCTTCAAAAAGGGATAAATACAAATTAAAATAAGAAAACTAATCATGGCCCCAAAACATGGTGAAAAACACAACTAATACTGTAGAGACATTTTTGCAAAATGTACAAATGACCAACAGGAATACAAAAAACGCATTTCCTCATTAATCAAGATGGAATCTGGTTCCCTGCAAGACCACCAACCACAAATGCCTCTCCATGAGGGTTCAGTACAGGAGATATTGGGGCTGCAGGGAGACAAGAGGGCAGCCTGACAAACCCAGGATCTGCCTAGAAAACTGTGAAGCAAGCAGTACCCACAGTCCTCACAGGTGAGGACTGAGCGCACCCTAGGGAACAGAGGGCACGGGGAAATGCAAACCCTACTCACAGTCACCGGGAGAGAGTGAGGGTCTTACCCAGTGAGGATACAAGACCAAAATTCTCCAGCATCACATGGAGGTACAGGCGTCTCTCAGCCGCATTAAGGAGGCTCCACTCTGTCCTGGAGAAATACACGGCCACATCCTCAAAGGTCACCCTAACCTGTCAGAATTGATACAAATGAATCCGGGACAGTCTGTCTCACACCCCGAAATCCTACTCTATACAAAACTTCCCCACATTCAACCTGCCCCCCGTTCAGAGTGGACAACCCCTCTAAGTCCCAGTAAAGACGCGGCTCGGAATCACACTGTTGAATGCGGACACACCAAGGACCCCAGGTTCACGGGTCCCCCCGTCCCCCCGGCTCAGCCGCCTCTGCACCTGTTCACAGAGCCGGCCCTCCCGGGTGACCCTTCCATAACCCGCCAGACTCTCGCTGTTCCCGACGCCCCACAACTGGCTGCAGGGCACCATGGGGTAACGGAGAGAGACTGGGGGACACGACTCACCTCAGCCAGGTGCCTCCACCCAGCCTCCGCCATCCGACTCTGTGGGCCGGGAGGGGCGCCAGCAGCGCGCCAGGCGAGTGTCCCTGGTACAGCGAGCTCCTGTCTCCGCCCTGGCGCCTCGCTCCCGAGCAGCATCACCTGGCCTCACACATGCTGCGGTGACCACTACTTTCCCACCTTCTCCATTCGATTCTGAGATCCCAGATCCTGACTTAGTTATAACAGACACTGAGAGAAGAGCAAATGCCCGCCACTGCTGACCCGAGCCCCGTTCTACCTGAGTGTCCAAACGGAAATGTCTTTACTGAGTGTTCATTGGCTCCTTGTCCCAGGGTTCCTCGTCTGCCTTCTGGGTAATGTAGTTCTTGCACTCCAAGACTGGGATGCTGTATTTCCCCCCCGGACTCCAGGAGTGGATTTACCAACCCCAAGAATATTCTCTGAATACTAAATGCACTCTGTCGTCCCCCAGAGGGCATCACTTCTTGAGCGAGGTAGTCTGGTGTGCCTGCAAGCCACCCCCCCCTTTTTTTAAGATGTTGGTTTTGGTAGTCTTTCTTAAGGATCTGCACCACTTTCTGATCTTCACACATCCTGTGTCTTCTTCAGGCCATCTGGCATGTGGCTCCTTCAAGAAGAACGTGGTTGGAGGAGATTGCCCGAGCCACTAACGCTACCATCCTGCCTCAGTTGGACCCACTATGCAAAGTGAATGTTATAAAACATACACTAATACTGAAGCACATCTGTGTCTGATGTAGCGAGAAGTCTGAGCTCTGCCTGAGCAGCTGTGTGACTAGAGTCCACACTGATTTGATCAGGTGCCTCTGACTTAAATGTATACTTTTTGCAAAGAATGGAGTTCATATTGAAGACATCAAAGACATGCAATGACAGGAATTCAGCCCAGAAGTTGCATGTAAAGTTCTAGACCAAAAACTCAATATGCCAATAAAGCTATTCACAATCATTTGTTGGTTCCTTCATGCATAATGTAGTCTATTAAATGTGCAATAGCACTATGTAAACAATAACAATATATACCTTAATTTAAACATATTTGATTGTGCTGGCTGTTGTGGCTCAGTGGATTGAGCACCAGTTTCAGAACCATACAATCACTGGTTCGATTACCAGTCCAGACATATGCCTGTGTTGTCAGCTAGGGTCCCTGGTGCAGGGCACTGGGTCACGCAAGAGGCAACCACACATTGATGTTTCTTTTCCTCTCTTTCTCCTTCCCTTCCCCCTCTCTAAAAATAAATAAATAAATGAATAAATAGTTAAAAATACTATATTGATTAAAAACACAAACTGTTATCTAGGTCTTCATGTACTTGCATGCAATCTTTTTGCTGTGAAGGGTCTTGCCTTCTTGTCGATGCCAATGCATTATTTCCAAAGCGCAATAAATCACATCATAATAAAGAGGATATGCCCACATGGACAGCCTGGGAAATTTTACCAGACAAGTAACATAGTTCCCCCATCATGTATATGACACATAGTGCACAAGAAGGTAGGACACACCTTCAAAAACAAACAAATAAAAAAAAGATGCCTGATATAAACACAATGGAAACTACTTATTTGTAATTTAAATATCAGTCAAGAAAAATTGTTTGAAAACTAGGACAATAGAATTCTGACTAAGTTATTGGTATTTCTGCTTGTGTGAAAATGGGATTGTAATTATAACAACAGACAACTTGTGACATAATGATTAGTATGACATTTCAATGTGGTAATGTAACAAGAAATATGGGGGACCCCAAAACAGGAAAACCCCCACTAACATTGCTGGGAAGGGTAAGTAGAGCAGAGACATTGACAGTTACTTTGCACATCTAAGGAAATTGGCAAGTGATTTAGCTGTGCCTGCTGCACTCTAAGTCAGGGATGTGGGTGTGGCCCTAACTCAGGATGTAGCTAAAGTGTCTGCTTGCAGAAAGCTCCTACCTCCCTGGGCCCTGTCTACCTGGAAAAACAAATGGCAGACAAGAATGACAGGAGATACAGGGAAGGGCAGATGTAACCCCTTGTGGGAGGAGTGAGAAATGGGGTGAAGGAGGAAGATCCACACCAGGACTTAAACCCAAGTGCGGGGCAGCCATTGCACTCTTGACCATGATGCTTGGGAAGGAGAAGCCTCTGGACCATGTAGCAGCTCAGCAGGGTCTTGACCACACAGTTGGAAAGGATGCAAAAGGACCCCTGCCAGCCTGCCATGAGGAAGTGCCACGTGGTTTTGGATTAAGAGCAGGAGCCTAGCTGAGCATGCACAACTGGAAGAAGCTGGAATACAGACAGGAATCTGCCCAGCTAAGCTACAAACTTCTATTTCTCTTCCTGGGAGACAGTACCCCTAACTGACCTGCTTTAGCAAGAGGAGTCAGGATTGTGTGTTTGTGGGTGTTTTTTCTTTTGTTTGTTTCTAAAGGGAGTGAGATTGAACGACAGAATTCTGCCATTATTCTGAACCTGTATAACTTTTAAATACATAGTTCCTTTCCTTTTCAGAAGACTCTGATTTTGGGAGTCAAGAGTTTCTTTGGGTTTGGGCAATGAAACACAGAGGAATAGAACCTAAAGTGGCTCTGTTATAATACTATTAGACACATATTTAGGAATTATATTTAGATAAATGAGGAAGTACATATTTATAATGAAAGTTGACCCATGTTTAGGTGAGAATTCTTTTACATCACATGAAAAGAGCTCAGTTGTTGAGAGGATCTATCTGACACATGAAGTTGTGGGTTCAATGTCCAGTGAGGCCATATGTAAGAATCAACCAATGAATGCATAAATCAGTGGGATAACATATCAACATTTCTCTCTTTCTGTCTCCTTTCCTCTCCATAAAATACATAACACACTGATGTTTCTCTCCCTCTCTTTTACCCTCCCTTCCCCTCTTCCTAAAAATAAATAAATAAAATCTTTAAAATAAACTAAAATAGTAATTCTGTAAGAAGCTGTTCCCTATTTAAAAATTCAAATCACATTTTTTCCATCTTGCAAGATGGCAGGTGATAAAACTGAGAAGCCGGATACTAAGGTGAAGAAACCCAAAGCCAATAACACTGATGCTGGTGGCAAGATTAAGAAGGGTAACTTCAAGGCCAAGACGCCTAAGAAGGGGAAGCCCACTGCAGCTGAAACCCTGTCCTAGTGACAGGAATTGGCAGGTATTCCCGGTCAGCTCTGTATTCCTGAAAGGTCATGAACAAGAGGAAGTATTCTGCAGTTATATCCTGGATTGAAAAGAAAAAGGAGAAAGTTATGTAAACCAATTGGTGGCAACAAGAATAGTGGTACTGGAGTGGTTAAACTTCGCAATATGCCTAGACACTATCCTACTGAACATGTGCTCAAAAGCTTATTGAGCCATGGCAAGAAACCCCTCAATCAGCGTGTGAGAAAACTGCGGGCCAGCTTCACTCCAGGGACCATTCTGGTCATCCCCACTGGGTGCACAAGAGGCAAGAGGGTGGTTTTCCTGAAGCAGCTGAGCAGTGGCTTACCACTTGTGACTGGAACTCTGGCCCTTAATCAAGTTCCTCTGTATAGAACACCCCAGAAATTTGTCATTGCCACCTCCACCAAAACTGATATCAGTGGTGTGAAACTCCTCAAGTATCTCACTGATGCTTACTTCAAGAAGACGAACCTGCGCAAGCCCAGACACCACAAGGGGAGGTCATCCACACCGAGAAAGAGAAATATGAGATTACAGATCAATACAAGGTTGATCAGAAAGCTGTGGACTCGCAAAATTCAGCCAAAAATCAAGGCTGTTCCTTAGCTCCAGGGCTACCTCTGATCTGTGTTTGCTCTCACAGATGGGCTTTATCCTCACAAAATGCAGTTCTAAATTTCTTTTTAAAAACCTAATTAAGTAACTGATGTGTACAACCACTATGGAAAACAGTATGGAATTTTCTCAGAAAACTGAAAATGGATCTGCCTTTTGATCAAGCAATTCCACTGCTAGGATTATATCCTAAGAACCCTGAAACACCAATCCAAAAGAACCTATGCACCCCAATGTTCATAGCAGCACAATTTACAATAGCCAAATGTTGGAAGCAACCTAGGTGACCATCAGTAAATGAATGATCAAAAAACTATGGTACATTTATACAATGGAATTCTATGCAGCAGAAAGAAAGAAGGAGCTCCTGCCCTTTGCAACAGCATGGATGAAACTGGAAAGCATTATGCTAAGCAAAATAAGCCAGGCAGTGAAAGACAAATACCATATGATCTCACCTTTAACAGGAACCTAAACAATAAAAAAAAAACAAGCAAAATATAACCAAACACACTGAAATAGAGGGCAGGCTGACAGTGACCAGAAGGGAGAGGGGAGGGGATTTCAGGGGAAAAGGGGAAGGGTTTACAGCAACAAATATAAAGGACACATGAACAAAAACTGGGGAGGATGGAAATGGGAGGGAGGTGGGAAGGACTAGGGGTGAGCTGGGATGGGAGTGAAAGACAGAAAACTGTACTTGAACAGCAATCAAAATAAAGAGAGAGAGAGAGAGAAGAATAAAACATAAATCAGTCTGCTTGTTTAAAAAATAACTGATGTGTTAATAAAAAATTAAGTAACTTTTTTCTTGTTTCTCAGATTGCAGTAGGTGTCCAGGTCTGGGTCTCAAATCATCATTCACTATCCAGACTGGCTGAGGTAGTTGCAGGTTTTAGAAGATTGAAAGTTTATGACACCCTGGATCCAAGACAACTCCTCAGGCTGGGTTGGGTCCCTTATGCAATTTTCAGTGACTTTCAGAATATGCACTACCAGCCCTTCAGCAAAGAAGATCTCAGGTCACAAGGGATGCAGGCTGGATGGCTGTTGCATACCCAGATAGAAGGGACATGCATTAGTACCCTTCTCAGTTTTGCAGTGAAGTCAATATGCTTATGTCCACAAGGAGGATGAATATGTTCTGAGCTGGTTCTGACATAGTGTGTACAGAGAAGACAGCCTACCAGCAAATCAGACAATATTTACACAGCAGAAACTAAACCAGGACAAAGATTCCAGAACCAGAGAGCAGTTGAACCTGCACAAACTGCCTAAAAGGACCAAGGAAACACACATGTTGGTAGAAAAAAATCCAGAAATATTTGGAGTGAGAAAAAATGGAACCCAACTTAACAGAAGCTGTGAGGCTCTGAAGTTTATTGAAATGGGGAGTTGAAAGAGAAATGGACTTACCTCCATTAATGAGGATGCTCTACTTGGAAGTGTCTGAGGCACAAGACATCAAGTGATGTGCAACCCTAGAATATTATGATAAAACCTCTCACTGCATCTCCATGACATGCCATAAGCCGACAAGCCACAGGGGAGCATCAGGACCATTTTCCACATACTCACCACCACAGATGACCATGTTATCTGAAAGCTGCTGAACATCTAGGGCAATGTGTTGGCCATCAACAGAAATAAGCTACACTGATGAGCTGTACCCGCTCACTTATTCCTGGGACATTATCATCCAGAGTCGGGCCCAAGCTCATGTTTCACAAGAGGCACAATTCTGATGAGGAACTCCTGACAGTGAGTGGGAGAGCCAACTATCCTCTCTTGGTGAAGGTAATTCAATCAATTTACACAAAACAATCTGTCCATGGAGTCAACCTACTGAACCATAGCTACTCTTAGACTAAGGTGAGCCTCTGGAGGAGATGAGATAATTAGTAAACAATTGTCTGAGAAATGAAACATGATGTCATGGCTTTCCTTCAATTTTTCTAAATTTCTTAGCTCACTATTTACTATATCTGTCTGACCTCTCTATTTCTCTTCAAGTTCTCATGAATGAAACGACCAACACTTTGAAGAAGAAAGAATTTCAGGGTAGCCACGTTTCCAGCAGAGCCAGAGCTGAAGTTAATTCTCCCACTCTAAGGACTCAGTGTTCTTTATATACCGCATGTGGAGACTTACCTATTCTCAGGACCAACAGGGCCTTTTTCTTCTAAATATTTAACTAACGATCATTTTACAACTCCATTAATCAGTATTAATACTTTTCTGTATTTTGCTCACTCTGTAACTTTTAGTAGAAATAATCTGCAGTCCCCAAGCAGAAACTGTCACTGCATTTACAGGTAAAATGATCATTGTTTTGTTGCAAGGAATTAAAATCCCAAAATCCAAAACTTTCATCTCACATTCAGATGCCTCCTTTCAAAACCTCCATGAATCCCAACACTGCAGCCATCCTGGCAGCAAATTTAAATTTGGTACATAACCATGATCTCCAATTACTTGTCATATTCATAAAAAGTTATAATAGACAGTATCCCAGAAAATTCAGTAAGATATGTCATGTGCAAAAACAATTGTTTTTGGTAGTTACAAAACACATACTGACAGAGAGGCAGAAGGCTCTATTTGGTCTATGAGCCATGGTGACATCCAATCCAACATCATCCTTAGGTCTTCCTAGTACCTCCTCACTGGGAACTGGTTTGGTTCCAACTCGCTAATGTGACTCAGCCCTGTATCGAAAGCTGACAGGAGCAAAGTGGTGGGCAGGAGCCAGGCCCTGAAACCAGTTTCCCTATGGGAATCAGACCTAGAAAATCCATCTAGACTGTTATAGCTTGCTCTTGCTAACAATCCCTCACCCTGGTTTGAAACAGTAGATGTTTATTGACTATCTTCAAGGTAATTTCCAAGGCCTGTATGAATTTTCCCCAAGGATGGAGCATAATCAGCTCACCACCTTTCCCTTCTACATTTGTTATTTATGTTGCCTTGATTATACCTAAAATGTAGACAACAATATTCTATGTAATAGATAATAAGACCTAAGAAAAACAATAAAAGCCTGCCCAGGCAAGGGTTGGGTGCTCTCACTTTGAGAGAGTGGCCAAGGCGCTCTCCCCTTGAGAGAAGCAGCCATAGGACTCTCATCTTAAGAGAGTACCTGTACTGTCCCTTTTTCTCCACAGGACTTCTGTAGTCTGTGTGCATTTGTTCTCGTCTTCAGAAACAACATGCAGATTCTGCTGGCTGGAGTCTGCAACACCTCCTCCCTCTCGGGGTTCCCTCTACAAAATGGAGTATTTATGCTCAAATAACTGAGAACACAATGAACCTTTGGTGTTCAATTTAAATATTTTGCAAGAGAAAAGCAGTTACTTACTTACAGGGCGTTCCCATAAGACTATCAGCTGATTTCTGAAGAAAAACTTTGCAGGCTAGAAGGGATTGGCAAGAAATATTCATATTCATGAAAAGCAGGGACCTATAGCTAAGATTGCTCTAATGAGCAAAGCTAACACTTAGAATCAAAGGGCAGATAAAGATCTTCCCAGGCAAGAAAAAAACTAAAGAAGTTCATCATCACCAAGTCATTACTATATGAAATGTTAAAGGGCTATCACTCATGTGGTAATCACATTGATTGTTCTCTATTAATGTCTTGATTTGGTCACTTTCAACTTCAACTGGTCTACCCGACTGTGGAGTATCATCTAGGGATAAATCTCCAGCACAAAACTTCACAAACCATGGCTGACACATTTGATCCGTTACAGCACCTTCTCCATATGCTACACAATTTTTTGTGTGTTTTAGTTGTATTTTTACCATTCATGAAATATAAAATATAATATGCCAAAAATGTTGCTTATTTTCCTCCTTCCTCAATATTAAAATGGCTATACAGAAATTTACCAATTTATAAGTTTTTTTAAATGCATGCTGATATGACAGCTGTCACAATACAATCTAACAAAATTCTTTTGAATGAAGTTAAAGACAGCTAAGCACTACTAGAGCCATCTTATGGGGGGAAAAAAAGTGAACTTTTTGACCAACCCAATATTAGTTTTTTGTTGTATACCCCAGTGATTAGATATTATATAACTTACTAAGTGATCATTCTGATAAATCTTATACCCATCTGACAAAATCCATAGTTAAAATTAGTTTCTCAGCCCAGGCCAGATAGCTCAGTAGGTTAGAGCACCATCCCATGATATGACAAGGTTGTGGGTTCAATCTCTGGTCAGTGCATCTGCAAAAATCAACTAAAGACTTCATAAATGAGGGCAACAAAAAATTGATATTTCTCTCTATCTCTGTATCTCTCTCCCTGCCCCTTCTTCTCTTTTTCGAAAATCAAAAAATAATCTTCAGCCCTGGCTGGTGTGGCTCAGTGGATGGAGTTCCAGGCTGTGAACTGAAGGGTCGCTGTTTCGATTCCTAGTAAAGGCACATGCCTTGGTTCCCTGGTACATAATGTAGTCTATTAAATATGCAACAGCACTAGCACAAAAATGAAAATATACACACCATACTATAAAAGTACTTTATTGACTACAAAAGGTAAACCATTACCTGAGCCTTTGTTAAGTTGCAAGCAATCATTTTGCAGGTAGAGGGTCTTGCATTCCTATTGAAGAGAACATTCTATCTCTCAAGCTCAATAAAGCACATCTCAATAAAGGGGGGTGTGCACACATGGGAAAATCTGAGAAATTTTACTACATCAACAACCCAGTTATCCAAACATACATATGACAAGTATGGCATAAGAATATAGGACACACTTTTGAAAATAAAAAAATTCATAATAGAAACATAAATGGGTGTCTATTTACTTGTAATCTAAATGTCAATAAAGAAAATTATTGAAAAAACTGGCAGAAATAATAGTGACAAAGTTATTGGAATTTTTGTTGATGTGAAAATTGTATTGTAATTATCATAACAAAGGAGAAATTGTGAGTTACAGACATAATTACTGATTCATAGGTGACATGCTAAATATGACACTGTCAATGCAATAGGTTTAGGAACATATTGAGGAATTATATTTCATGAGACACCAAGACACACTTTAAAAGTGTGAACCTCTCACACTTTTATTGAGAAAACCTCTCAATAAATGGTTGTAAAATGCAACTAGTGATACAATCAAGCACTTAAAAAAACTTCAAGCTAAAGAAAGGATGGAAATGATGTTAGAATTCAGTAAGACGAGTTTGAACTGAGCCTGCATATGAACAGACACCTCATCTCTGCTTAGGGGACTAGAGCGGATCCCATGGTTATTATTCTCTTTAAAATGATGGACACTTCATTCTTCTGATATAGACTGATTACTAAAAAGTGTACTTGTATCTCTACGAAATGGGGAAAATCACCTGGACTTACAATTAATGATAGGTTACCATGAAAATGCAATGACATCAAAACAATGCTCTAAAGTCCAAGGTCACTCACAAGGGCTGCTCAGCACTGCTCAATCTGTTAAAGATCGAAAATCAGTAAGACAAGGGTTTTAGAGATTCAGCTCTAACCCAAGACATTCTATTGACAGCAGTGAGGACAGAAAAAAAACAGAACTAGCATCAGTTTTAAGAGTGTACATGCATGTCATCCTGGTGATTTTAAATGGATTGTTAAGAAAATGTCTTGGAAGCAGATTGCAAATTATTACGAAAGACGCTCAGCACTCACCCTCTTCTCTGAAAAATCCCATGAGCTATACAACTCGGCTAACTGGGCTGTGGAGGCATAGATTCAACCTGATTTGGCCAATTGTCCCTTGCCAAGCAATCAGGAGTCAGAATCTCCGTTGTGACCAGAGTGCGCTAGGCAGCTGATGAGGGTTCTGATCCTAGCAGAAGGATCATGTTCCTACCCAAGGATCTTTGGTGCAGACATGGAGACACTGGAAATGAGGATGCAGCTGCTGGAAATAGTCAGGGCTACAGGGAATACAGGGTGAGCATCAGTGTCTCCTCCAGCCAGTCCTGGACAGAGTAAAGGATCAAATGGGCACTGTGTTTCCTGCATGAGGAGGTGAACACTCCACCAGGGAGATAACAATACTATAGGTCTCCAGCATCACTTCTCAATATGTCCCAGGTATCACGTCCCACTGTCCTCAAAAGCCAATAGACAAAATGTATCCAAGGCTTAACATTGTTTTCCCTGGCAAGATCACTGGAAATCAGACAGGATTCCCATGAATGCTGTGAGGCAGGTGTTAAGCCCTTTAAGACATCAGAAAAATGCAGAAAAGTCATGATAATTGCAACAATGAAAACAACAGCAACAGCCGAGTTTCCCATATCAACAGTCTTCCCTGTCTCCCTGCCTTGTTCTGAGGCCTTAATACACTACAATAGATGGCGACCCCAGTTCACCAACAGACTTAGGAGTTTGAAGTCAGCATTTTGGATCTGACATTTGTCTGTTGTGACCTTAGAAAAACCCCTTTTTCTTCCTGATCCTTCATTTCCCCAGAAATGCAGTAAGTTATTAACCCACAGGATGCAGTTGAATTAAGAAGGAAATAAACAGCAAATCCTGTCATACAAGTACCTGGAAGTGTGTATTGAATTTCATTAACTCTATTGATTCTCAAAAGGGCCGTGGTTTGTGCCTTCATTAATTTCATGTAGCAAAGTGAGATTGGGGGATTTTATGATCACCCAGAGGTACCACACTGGGGAATCCATATGGGAAGCCCTGAAGCCACATTGTCCCATGTGGGGTCTGTACAGATGCAGCTGATATGGGGGATCAGAAAGTTCCATTTATTTTTCACAAGCACCTGGGGCAGGTCTGAGGTGTCTCCCATGGGAAATAACTGGTGGTATAGCTACTGCCTTTGAAATGAGCACCAAGGCTGGGATAAAAGCTGCTGTTCATCCCATTTTACACAGAAGGAAACAGAGGTCCATTAAGTGTACTATGTTCCTTTAATCATAAAAATGTTCCATAATGTTAAGATTGAACCCAATTTGCATGGCAAAAGGTATGGGAAGTCTAAATACTGACTTCTTCTCTTTGGCCTCCAGGAGGGCTTGAGGATCAACAAATATCCATTCATCTTCTTACCTCCCGGTGCACCTTCAAATGCTACTGTAGGCAGCTAACCCGACATTAGACCATAAAAATGGGTGAACTCTAACAAGTAAGGCTTTTTATTATATTACTAAATGTATGAACTTACAAAGATGATGAATTATGTTAATAATGCAGATTATTCTTTAAAGTATATAATATGTACCTATTACACTGTGTACAATAAAAGAAAATCCCAATGATTAGGTCATATTTGCCACTATTAAAAACAATTATTTCATAAATCAAGTATTACATCTCCTTTTAGGAGTCAAAGTGGGTGTCATGGCAACATATATCTTTGCTGTTTCACTGTTAACTATCTTTGCTGTTTCACTTTGCTGTTAAAGGAAAAGAGCCCAAAATCATAAAAGAATAGGTACAAATCATTACAGAAATGCAACTAAAACAAGAGCACATACAAACTCAGAAAAAGCTAAAATTAACAAAAATTGAACAAATCAGTATTTTGCTAGGGTGGGGAAATGCAACCCTCATACACTATGAATAAAAAGGCATAAAGGGCTCTAGTCTGTGTGGTTCAATTGGTTAGAGCATTATCCAAAGGTGAAAAGTTACAGGTTTGCCTCCTGGTCAGGGCACATAAGTAGGTTAGGAATGCGAACCCTGATTTGAGCATGTAACCAATCAATTTTTCTCTCCCTCCCTTCCTGTCTCTCTAAAAGCAGTGAAATAAAATGTTCTTGGGTGAGGATAAAAAAAAAGGTCCCAAAAGAGTCCATAAAGTCACAGATTAACAATGCTTTGTTAGGTTCTGCAAAACATAAACATTAAACTTATGACACAGGCCAACACTGAGAACACTGGTAAAACATTAAAGTCAGATGTTTCCTCAGCAAGTTTACTTCAGTATCATTATACTGAAAAAAATAAAACATTTCCTAAAACCTATTCATTTACAGTGAAAAATCTCCAAGGTCAAAAGGTATAAATTTATCGCTAAAGATTTCCTATATTCACTTCACACTCAAAGCCTTTAAACAGTGTGAAGTGTGTTTAAGATGGTGATGACTATGAGATAAGAGATTTCCCACATTTTATGTCCTCATAAGGCCTATCTCCAGTGTGAACTCCCTGATAATAGGGGAATGGATAGAAGAAGCATTTCCCATATCCACTGTACTCATAACACCTTTTACCAGAGTGAAATCTCTGAATATAATGGAGCTTAGTACTACAATAAAAAAAATTCCTCATATTGCCTGCATACATAAATCAATTTTCCTGTCACATCTCAGAAGATAACAGAAGAAATGGCTAGAAAATAAAAGATTTCCCAAATTTCCTTAACTAGTAAGAATTTAGTCATTGAGACCCAAGGACAATGACAGCCACAGCTACTGGTAAAAGATTTTCCACATTCAATGCGGGCATAAGACCGTCCTCTGGGTGAACTCTCTGATGATAATAGAGATTACAGATAAATAAAAATTTCACATTCCCTGCAGCCATAAGGTCATTTTACTAAGTGAATACTCTGATGACAACAAGGTGAATATTACAGATGTTTTCTGAATTCACTGCACTCATAGGCTTTTCTTTTGTGTGAACCCACTGATGCTAACAGAGGTGGCAGCTACACATAAAGGATTTCCCACACTCACTGCACTAATAAGGCCTTTCTCCAGTATAAACTATATGATGTTTACATAGGTCGGAGCTACTGGTAAAAGATTTCCCACATTCACCACACTGAAAAGCCTTTGCTTAAGTATGAACTCTGTGATGTTTATGGAGGGCAGAACTATTAGTAAAAGATTTCCCACATTCAAAACATTCATAAGGCCTTTCTCCAGTATGAACTTTCCGATGATTATGCAGGCCAGACCCACTGACATAGGATTTCCCACATTCACCACACTCATAAGGCCTTTCTCCAGTGTGAACTCTAAGATGTATACGGAGGGCACAACTCTTCGTAAAAGATTTCCCACATTCACTGCACTCATAAGGCCTTTCTCCTTTGTGTACTCTCTGATGATAACAGAGGGTAGAACTTCTGGTAAAAGATTTCCCACATTCACCACACTCATAAGGTCTTTCTCCAGTATGAACTGTGTGGTGTTTATGAAGGGCAGAGCTTGTGGTAAACGATTTCCCACATTCAGTGCATTGATAAGGCCTTTCTCCAGTGTGAACTGTATAATGGCTACGGAGGTTAGAGCTCCAGGTAAAAGATTTTCCACATATGCGGCACTGATAAGGCCTTTCTCCAGTGTGAACCCTGTGATGTATACGGAGGGCAGAACTCTTGGTAAAAGATTTCCCACATTCACTGCACTCATAGGGTCTTTCTCCAGTGTGAACCCTGTGATGTTTACTGAGGTCATAGCTACTGGTAAAAGATTTCCCACATTCACCACAGTCATAATGTCTTTCTCTAGTGTGAACTATCTGATGTTTACGGAGGGCAAAGCTACTGGTAAAAGATTTCTCACATTCTCTGCACTCATAAGGCCTTTCTCCAGTGTGAACTCTCTGATGTTTACGGAGATCTGAGCTCCAGGTAAAAGATTTCCCACATACACTGCACTCATAAGGCCTTTCTCCAGTGTGAACTCTCTGATGATAAAGTAGGTGAGAGCTAATGGTAAAACATTTCCCACAGGTACCACACTCATAAGGCCTTTCTCCAGTGTGAACCCTCTGGTGTTTATGGAGGGCAGAGCCATTGGTAAAAGATTTCCCACATTCACCACACTGAAAAGGCCTTTCTCCAGTGTGAACTCTCTGATGATAAAGGAGGTGAGAGCTAATGGTAAAACATTTCCCACAGGTACCACACTCATAAGGCCTTTCTCCAGTGTGAAATCTCTGGTGTTTATGGAGGACAGAGCCATTGGCAAAAGATTTCCCACATTCACTACACTGAAAAGGACTTTCTCCAGTGTGAAGTCTGTAATGATTATGGAAGTTAGAGCTATGGGTAAAACATTTCCCACATGCACCACACTCATAAGGCCTTTCTCCAGTGTGATCTCTGTAATGTTTATGAATGGCAGAGCCACTGGTCAAAGATTTACTACATTCACTGCCCTCATATGGCTTTTCCCCAGTGTGAACTTTCTGATGATAACAAAAACCTGAGATTCCTAGAAAACATTTTTCACATTCATCGCATGCATAATATTGTCTTCCAATATGGACAGCCTGGTCTGGAAGAGGAGTGTGTTTGCAGCCAATGGACTTCTTATATTCTTTTCTTGTGTGATAAATTTTTCTCCTTTGAAAATCCTCCTCAGATGTTGACATTTCATTTCCTCTTTCCCTGGTGTTAGTAGCCTGTTGTTGGATATTTCCTGAGTTGGTAAAAACGTTCTGCTCAAGCTCCTGGAAGGTAAAAGTCTTTTCAGACACATTGAAATTGCAGCCCTTCACAAGTGAGGCCTTGTCCACACCTTGTACAAAAGACTTCTGTTTCAAGTGTTGCTCCTCGTGCTGGTGATGCTTTGCAATAAAACAAAATTGTTTTGCACATGCTCCACACCTCAGCACTTTCTGTCTCTGTTGAGTTCCCTGCTGGTCAACCAAGAGAAAAATTTCCCTCAAGACACACCCACAACTGTCACAGGGGTGGCTCTTTTTGGAAGACAAAGCTGCCTTGGGATCCTTTGCCTGGGACACTCTTACAGAAAGGTTCTGGTCAATGGGAGCCTCCACATCTGCCACTCCACAACAGCAACCTGAACAAAAACAAACACTGGTGAATTTTGATGTTGACTTAGTAGAAAAAGAATATTCCCAACACAAATGTCCATTTTGCAAAGCTAGGCATGATCTATGGACTAATTTTCAAGACAAAGACTTAAACTCTGTGAAAATGGCTGTTATTATTGGTTGTCCCAAAAGGTCAGAAAATAATGGAGACCTCACCAAAAAAGATACAACCATTGCAAGAAAAACAAAGAAGAGAGCAGGGCTTACTAGCTGTTCCTCCACAAATGGCTTCCTGAAGGGCTTTTCCTTCTGGTGATGGGAGTCTTGTTGAAGAAGTTGAATGTGCCCAAAACACATAAAAATTGATTGTATCACAGCCCATGACTTCAGGTCAGTGTAAGAATATGTGAGCCCTAACTTCTGTGCCTTACTTGGTTGGAGCATTGTCCCATAAATTACAAGTCTGTAGGTTTGATTCCTGGTCAGGGCACATACCTAGGCTGCGGGGTCAATCCCCATCACTAGTCACTGTGCATGCGAGAGGCAACCAACTGATGTTTCTCTCTCACATCTCTCTTTATACATCTGTCCTTCCTCTTTCTAAAACCAATAGACATATCCATGGGTGATGAATGAAAAAATGATACTCAAAAACAGAAGAATATATGCACACTATGAGGCTCTACAGGCACGAATCAAGTTTGAAGGGTAGTAACAAGAGATGTGTGACCGAAATGGTTGAGGTGAAGGGTTTAGAAAAATGGAGATTATTCACAGGCTGTGAATCCTAGGAGAAATGATAACTATGAGAACTGAGTAGTAGGAAAAGTATCAACAATAAGGACAAGAAGATTAAGCTGTGATAGATTAAGTAGATTAAGAATGATAACAATATACTGTTAAATAAATGGGTTCCTAGTTATAACTTTAATAAAGCCCTGGCATCAAGTCCTCACCAATTTCCATTTACCATGTTGGCACCCCTTCTGAGCCCACACAGCCATGCATGGAGCCATGCGCCTCCTGTGATGTACAAATGACTCTTCCCCTTAACTCTCAGTCAAGCCATTCATGGGATTCAAAACAAGAAATGCTAAGAGAGAAACTGAAGAGATGAATGGTAAGCAACTATAATAGAACAAGACAGCACAAAACAGACTCAGCAAAAGATCTTTGTGAGTAACATCATCAAAATAGCAGAACAAGAGACAGAAGGATATCTCCACATTCCATAAACAAGTACACAGCTATCCATGAACAAAACAGTCTTGGAGGAGGCGAATAAGAGCTCATAAAGGTAAACAGCAAAGCAGAAAAGCCAAAAATGGAGAACTACTCAGAAATATTGAATAAAAAGACTGGCTGAGCAAAATTATGTGCAGATGATGAAGCACAGAAGACAAGAGTCAAAGTTACCTCTGTCAGCCACCATGCTTGTGGTAGCATTGACCCTAGTGAAATGTATGGAGAAAAACTGTAAGAAACTTTGTTATTTGGAATACAGGAGTCCCTGGAACATTGAAAGAAAAATGTTAGAAAAGGAAAAAAATAGGTAGAAAGTTTATAAAAATATATTCTGAAGACTGACTTCCCAAATCTGAGAATACATGAGAATAATCAAGTTTGCTATTTCTCACAGGTCCTTGTGCAATTTAATGGATGTAAGCCTCACCAAGAACACTGTACTAAAAATGTCAAATATGCAAAGAAAATTCTGAAAGCACAAAATACATAGAAACATTTCCTACAGAAAGAACACACCCATAATGCTATAAATAAATATGCCCAAGAAAAAGTTAAAGACTAGAAGACAAACAAATGATACATTGAAAACACTAAATGAAATTAAATCTGCAAACCAACAGTATTTACTGAGGAAAATCATTCTTTAGAAATAAGAAAGACATTCCCAGACAAACAAAAGCTGAGTAACTTCATTGTCACTCAACTTGACTCATTAGAAATTCCAAAGGAAGTTCTTCAAGGTGAAATGAAAGAATACTTAACAGAAACATGAATACATAAAAAATGTATAAAACTCACTACTAATGCTGATAATGGAATAAAATTCACAATATTTCAACACTGCATTGGTGGAATGCACATTACCAAACACTATTGTAACATGAAAAAATAAAACTAGTACAAGCAACAAAGCTAACATTTTGTACATTAATATATACAATATAAAAACATGTAAATGGTGACATCAAATATATTTAAATAGGTGGTGTGGTGAAGAGTCAAATGGTAGAAATTTTGTATGCAATTGAAGTTGCCATCAGGAAAAAATAGTATTGAGTGAATTAGTTGTGTTATGTAAGTCTTGTGGAAACTACAAGCAAATACCTATGTAACAACAACAACAACAACAACAACAACAAACCAGAAAGAAGTTTAAGCATACCACTGTAAAAAATGATGAAATCACAAAGGAAAACAGTGATATAGAAAGATAAACAAACAAACTACAAAAGAGCCAGAATCCAACAAGAAAGTGGCAGTAGTAGGCTGTAACAACAAATTCTCCAAGGAAAGCACAGAGTGACTGAAGAGATTAAAAACAAACAAAGAAAACATAAGACACAATATATGCTGCCTATAAGAGATACCCTAAATATTTATGGATACAAATAGCCTGAAAACAAAAACAGGGAAACATATTCCTTGGACATAAAACCAAAAGACAGAAGGAGTAACTAAAATTCTATCTGGCAAAGATGACCTCAAATATTGTCACAAATGATAAAGGTCATCAAAGAATAGTAAAGGAGTCAATTCACCAAGAGGACAACAATGTTAAGTATTAAGCATCCCACAGCATATGTTAATGATATTAAGCAAATCATATCAGAACTGAAAGCATATAAAACAAGCCCAGTATTAGTTCAGTAGTAGTAGTGAATTTCAATATTCCCCTTTCAACAAAAACTAGGTCACCCATCTAAAAGCACTAAGGAATCACTGAAGCTTGATGATACTTTAGAACAAACAGAACTCATACATTTATACAGAACATCCCACCAAAATGCACCAAGCAGAAGATGCATTTTTGTCAAGAGCACATGAAACATTCTCTAGGTAGATCTTACATTAGATCCAAAAACAAGTCCCAAACTTTCAGAATATGTCACTTCAAATGTCCTATCTGATCACAGTCATAGAACAGAAGAAATCAATTTTAGTGTTAAGAAAGATGAATATTCACAAATAAGATGAAATTAAACACAACACCCCTGAACAACCACAGACTCAAAGGAAAAATGACAGATCACTCCAAACACATCTAGAGGCAAAAGGAAATAAAAACACAACAACCAAAGCTTACATACATGGAGCACAAAATGCAATGCTAACAGCGCATCTTATAGTGATAAACGCCCACCTCAAGACAAAAGATCTCAAATACACAACCTAACCCTGCAACTCAGGAACCTAGAAACACATGAAGATACTAAACCCAAAGTTAGTAAAGGAGAAAAACAATAAATATTAGGAAAGTCATACACAAAATAAAGGTAAGAAAACAAAAACAAAAGAATATCATAATTAGGAACTCTTTTTTGAAACATAAACAAAATTGCCAAACCTTCAGCTACACTAAACAAAAGAAACAAGAATCAAATGTATTTAAAAAGAAACGAGGCTTTCAGCCAAGATGGAGGCAACGGTAGGTATGCTTCACTTCCTCACATAACAAAAAGAAGCATAAAAACAAATTTAAAAAAATAGAACTGCAAGAAAATCAAACTGTATGGCAACAGTACAACCAAGGAGTTAAAGAAAAAACATTCATCCAGACTAGTAGGAGCGGTAGAGACTTGCGAACATAATGGAGAGGATGCACTGAAAGGCAGCAGCTGGTGGGTCAGGTGGGTGAGGCAGCAGTTGGCAGACCAGGCAGTCCCACATTCACAAGCAGATAAACCAGGAGGAATAACTGGGGAACCAGACACACTGGGCAACCCAGGGTTCCAGCGCTAGGAAAGAAAATTTCAAACCCTCTGGCTGTAAAAAGCCACAGGGTGGTTGCGGTGGTAGGAGAAACTGACAGTCTTACAGGAGAGTCCATTGGAAGGACACATACAGTCCCACAATGTACATAACTCCACCCACCCAGATATCAGCACCTAAAGGGCACAACTCACTTGTGGGTAGTAGTGGAATTGACTGAAAGTGGGGTGAGAGTGAGCAAGTGGTGCTGTTCCCACTCTGAACCCTCCCAAACATACAGCCCCACAACACAGTCAAGTGAGTTGCTCTGCCTTGACAAATACCTAAGGCTCTGCCCCTTACAAAATAACAGGTGCACAGACAAAGAAATAAGGCCCAAATGAAAGAATAGATCACAATTCCAGAAAAAGAACTAAATGAGGACGAGATACCCAACCTATAGATGCAGAGTTCAACACACTGATAATCAGGATGCTCGGAAAAATAATTCAGTATGGGCACAAAATAAAGATGGAAGGCTATACAAAGTGAAATAAAGAAAAATATACAGGGAATGAACAGTGAAGGGAAGGAAACCAGGACTCAAATCAACAATTTGGAACAGGAGGAAGAAATAAACATTCAACTGGAACAGAAGAAACAGGAATTCAAAAAAATGAGGAGAGGCTTAGGAACCTCTGGGACAACTTGAAAGATCCATCATCCCAATCACAGGGGTGCTAGGAGGAGAAGAGGAAGAGCAACAAACTGAACAATATCTTGAAGAATTAATGAAGGAAAACTTCCCCAAGCAGGTGAAGGAAATAGACATGCCAGTCCAGGAAGCTCAGAGAGTCCCACAGAAGTTGGACCCAAGGAGGAACACATCAAGGCACATCATAATTAATTTACCTATGATTAAACATAAAGAGAGAACTTAAAAGCAGCAAGAGAAAAGTAGGAAGTTACCTACAAAGGAATTCCCATAAGACTATCAGCTAACTTTTCAAAAGAAACCTTAGAGGCAAGACGGGGCCGGAAAGAAGGATTCAAAATCATGAAAAGCAAAAACCTACATCCAAGTTTACTCTACCCAGCAAAGCTATCATTTAGAATGGAAGGCCAGATAAAGTGCTTCCCAGGTAAGGAGTTTATCACCAGGCCCTTGTTATATGAAATGTTAAAGGGATTTAACTAAGAAAAAGAAGATTAAAACTATGAACAGTAAAATGACAACAAACTCACAACTATCAACAACAGAACCTAAAAAAACCTCAAAACTAAGCATATAACTAGAACAGGAACAGAATCACAGAAATGTAGATCACAAGCAAGGAGATTAGTGGGGAGGGGGAGAATGGAGGAAATGGTCAAGGGGTAAAAAATATCACTGGCAGGTCCAAACTAAACAGGAAGAGGTTAAGTACAGTATAGGAAATGGAGAAGCCAAAGAACTTATATGTACGACCCATGGACAAGAACTAAGAGAAGGGAATACTGGAGGGAAAGAGGGTAAAGGCCAAGGGGGAGAAAAAAATGGAAAAACTGTAATAGCGTAATCAATAAAATATACTTACAAAATAAAGAAATGAGCCCTGGCTTGGTGGTTCAGCCTACTGAGTGCTAGCCTGCAAACCAGAGGGCAGGAGGTTTGATACCTGGTCAGGGCACATGCCTGAGTTGCAGGCCAAGGCCAGGTTGCCAGTTGGGGGCATGTGATAGGCAACCACACATTGGTATTTCTCTCCTTCTGTGTCTCCCTGCATTACCCTCTCTAATAATAAATAAATAAAATCTTTACAAAAAAAGAAAAGAAATCAATGATGAGACCTTACACCTGACACTACAAAGGACAAAGCAACATAAGAGATATTTGCAGGTGACAAAACCCAACATACAGAACATTGTCCACATTCTACTATAAACATCTGAAATTATAAATAGATCCAATAAAAATATAGGATACAGAACAGACACTCCAATATCAGTTCCATATTTATAGTCTAACAATAAAAGCTTTGCAGAGAAATTAAGAAAGTAGTCAAATTCACAGCAGCATCAGAACCAATAAAAGACTCAGGAATAAATTCTACAAAGGAGGTGAAAGGGCTGTACATTGCACCCTCTAAAACAGTGATGAGCCCTGTTTGATGTAGCTCAGTGGACTGAGTGCCAGCCTGAGAACCAAAGAGTCAATGGTTTGATTCCCAGGCAGGGCACATTCCTTGGTTGCTGGTGGGGTCCCTGGCGTGAGGCGCAGGAGAGGAAACCACACACTGATGTTTCTCTCCCTTTGTTTTTCCCTAGCTTCCCCTCTTTCTCAAAATAAATAAATAACATTTTTCAAAAAAGACATTGATGAAAGAAGTTAAAGAAAACATAAATAAATGGAAAGACATCCTGTGTTCATGGATTTCAAAACTTAATATTGTAAAATGCCTACAGTACCCAAAGCAATCTACAGATTAAATGCAATCCCCATCAGAATTCCAACAGCATTTCACACAAAAACTTTAAAAAAAATTGTGAAATGTAGGAAACCTGAAAAGACCTCAAAGAACAAAAGCAATCTGGACACCACTGATAAAAATTAGCACCAAAATACTAAAAAATTAAATGTCAGTCCTAAAATTCTAAAACTACTTCAAGACAAAATACAGAATAAACTTTGGAGATTTGTATTGGAAATAATTTCCCTGATATGACACCAACTACCAGGCAAAAAGCAAAAATAAACAATCCTAACTACAAAAAACAAATAATCTTCTGCACAGCAGGACAATTAACAAAATGAAAAAGACAGCTACAGGACAGGAACAAATACTTAGAAACCACATAAAAGTATCCCTTGGAGATATTGTGGCTTCATTTCAGAGCACCACCATAAAGCAAGTATTTCCACATACGAAAAAAGTCACACAAATTTTTCTATTTCCCAGTGAATAAAGAAGTTATGTTTACATTACAGTGCAGTCTATTAACACAATCACTTTGTTTAAAAAAAAACCTACATAACTTAATTACAAATAGTTCATTACTGAAAATTGCTAACAAGTATCTCAGGCTGCTATTAAAATGGCAGCAGTACATTTGCTCACTGAAGTGTTTCCTAAAATATTGAATTTGTAAAACACAACACCTGCAAAGTACAATAAAGCAAAGTGCAAAAACACATGCACCTGAATCAGATGAGAAATTTATCAAATATACAAGGTGTTCAAAAGACTCATTGGCCCACCCTGGCCTGTAGCTGAGTTGCTTAGAGCAAACGTTCTGATACTCAAAGGTTCAGAGGCCCATCCTCAGTCAGAACACACAAGAATCAATCACAAATAAGTACAACAACAAATCAATGTTTCTCTGTCTCTTCAAAAAGGGATAAATACAAATTAAAACAAGAAAACTAATCATTAGCCCCAAAACATGGTGAAAAACACCACTAATACTGTAGAAACATCTTTGCAAAATGTACAAATGACCAACAGGAATACAAAAAAAACGCATTTCCTCATTAATCAAGATGGAATCTGGTTCCCTGCAAGACCACCAACCACAAATGCCTCCCTATGAGGGTTCAGTACAGGAGGTATTGGGGCTACAGGGAGAAGAGTGCTCACAGCCTTCCTGCCTGGTTTCAGGGACTATAGCCTCATTAAGGGTCAGAAGGGTACTAAGGCTAGGACTGAGCGAAAAGGCCTTGGGGCCATGAGCCACTAAGGAGACAGAACCTATCCTCCTGATAGGATCAAAGTCCTGCCTCCCTCACTTCACCCTGCTTGCCTGGAAAGATGGCTGGTTAGTCAGTGACAGTCTCCCTAGAGGGTAAGGTCCCTCTAGGGAGGGCCAACCTAAGCCAGGTGCCATCAGGGAAGGACTTAGGGGACTATAGAGAAGGGGCAGAAAGGCCCTCACCCATCAGCTATGTCATAGCCTGAGTCCTCATTCTATTTGTAAGAAGTCTCCTAATCTCTTGGCTGCTTTACTCCTGCCTCACTCGCCCTGAAAATAATTCCAGAGGCAGCTTTGGCCTTCGGAAGGAATAGAGGGCTCCCGAGGGGCAATCAGGCCTGACAAAGATTGTACATTGTTTCCTTTCAGGCTTGCACTGCCCTTTTGGTCTGAATCAGACTTGAACTGTAAGGATAAAGAGTGAAACTCCCTACCTGATCATACAGGCCTAAATGACCTTCTGGGGTCAGCACATCTCACAGACAGCGACCAGAGACAATCCCTGTATTTCTTAAATTATAATCTGTAGATGATGTCAGTTTTTCCTGACTGTAGTTTTTCAACATTGATTGGTGCACTTTACTATGATGAGCACATACTGTGTATCTCTGTGTGAGCTAAACTCAATAAAAGCCCATTGAGACAGAGGCTCGAGACCTTTCTCCTCTGAGACACTGGTCAGCTCTTTCTCTACAAGAAGATCTTGTCTTGGAAGTTTCATTTCATCATAGTGGGCCGTGAGGCCTTCTGGGGACGAACACTTCCACAGAACAGGGCATGGCAAAAAAAAAAAAACAAAAAAAAAACAAAACCGGCCTGACAAGTCCAGGATCTGCCTAGAAAACTATGAAGCAAGCAGTACCCACAGTCCTCACAGGTGAGGACTGAGCGCACCCTAGGGAACAGAGGGCACGAGGAAATGCAAAACCTACTCAGTCACCGGGAGAGAGTGAGGGTCTTACCCAGTGAGGATACAAGACCAAAATTCTCCAGCATCACATGGAGGTACAGGCGTCTCTCAGCCGCATTAAGGAGGCTCCACTCTGTCCTGGAGAAATACACCGCCACATCCTCAAAGGTCACCCTAACCTGTCAGAATTGATACAAATGAATCCGGCACAGTCTGTCCCACACCCTGAAATCCTACTCTATACAAAATTTCCCCACATTCAACCTGCCCCCCGTTCAGAGTGGACAACCCCTCTAAGTCCCAGTAAAGACGCGGCTCGGATTCACACTGTTGAATGCGGACACACCAAGGACCCCAGGTCACGGGTCCCCCCGGCTCAGCCGCCTCTGCACCTGTTCACAGAGCGGGCCCTCCCCGGGTGACCCTTCCATAACCCGCCAGACTCTCGCTGTTCCCGACGCCCCACAACTGGCTGCAGGGCACCATGGGGTAACGGAGAGAGACTGGGGGACACGACTCACCTCAGCCAGGTGCCTCCACCCAGCCTCCGCCATCTGACTCTGTGGGCCGGGAGGGGCGCCAGCAGCGGGGGAGGCGGGTGTCCCTGGTACAGCGAGCTCCTGTCTCCGCCCTGGCGCCTCGCTCCCGAGCAGCATCACCTGGCCTCACACATGCTGCGGTGACCACTACTTTCCCACCTTCTCCATTCGATTTTGAGATCCCAGATCCTGACTTAGTTATAACAGACACTGAGAGAAGAGCAAATGCCCGCCACTGCTGACCCGAGCCCCATTCTACCTGAGAGTCCAAACGGAAATGTCTTTACTGAGTGTTCATTGGCTCCTTGTCCCAGGATTCCTCGTCTGCCTTCTGGGTAATGTAGTTCTTGCACTCCAAGACTGGGATGCTGTATTTACCCCGACCCAGGAGTGGATTTACCGACCCCAAGAATATTCTCTGAATACTAAATGTACTCTGTCGCACCCCCAGCGGGCATCACTTCTTAGGCAAGGTAGTCTGTGGTGTGCCTCCAAGCCACCCCTCCCCCCTTTTTTAAGATGTTGGTTTTGGTAATCTTTCTTAAGGATCTGCACCACTTTCTGATCTTCACACATCCTGTCTCTTCTTGATTCAGGCCATCTGGCATGAGACTCCTTCAAGCAGAGGGAGATTACACGAGCCACTAATGCTACCATCCTGCCTCAGTTGGACACACTATGTAAAGTGAATGTTATAAAACATACACTAATACTGAAGCGCATTTGTGTCTGATGAAGCGACAAGTCTTAGATCTGCCTGAGCAGCTGTGTGACTAGAGTCCACACTGATTTGATCAGGTGCCTCTGACTTAAATATACACTTTTTTCAAACAATGGAGTTCTTGTTGAAGACATCAAAGACAAACAATAACAGGGATTCAGCCCAGAAATTGCATGTAAAGTTCCAGACCAGAAACTCAATATGCCAATAAAGCTATTCACACTCATTTGTTGGTTCCTTAATGCATAATGTAACCTATTAAATGTGCAATAGCACTATGTAAACAATATCAATATATACCTTAATTTAATCACACTGGTTTATGCTGGTTATTGGGGCTCAGTGGATTGAGTGCTGGCCTGCGAACCACACAGTTGCTGGTTTGATTCCCAGTCAGGGCACATGCCTGTATTGCAAATAGGTTCCCCGATGAAGGGCATGGAATCACACAGGAGGCAACCACACATTGATGTTTCTTTCCCTATCTTTCTCCCTCCCTTCTCCTCTCTCTAAAAATGAATAAAATCTTTAAAAAATACTTGATTGATTAAAAACACAAACTGTTATCTAGGCCTTCAAGTAGTTGCATGCAATCTTTTTGCAGATGGAGGGTCTTGCCTTCCTGTTGATGCCAATACATTATTACTGAAGCTCAATAAATCATATTATAATGAAGAGGATATGCCCACATGGACAACCTGGGAAATTTTACCAGGCAAGTAACATAGTTACCCCATCATACATATGATACATAGTGCACAAGAAGGTAGGACACACCTTCGAAAATAAAAGAAGATGCGTAATATAAACATAAATGGAAATCTGTTGGGAGCCATCCTGCCTGGTTTCAGGGACTGTAGCCTTTTGTCCCAAGACTAGAGCTGAGTGAAAGGCCTTGGGGACATGAGCCACTAAGGACACAGAACATTTCCTCCTGGCAGGAGCACAGCCCCTGCCTTACTCATTTCCCACTCCTTGGCCAGTGCAGATGACTGGTTAGCAAAAAGTGGATAAGACCCTCAAGGGAGGGGAGACCTAAGACAGGCACTGTGATGAAGGGCCATCAGGAAAGGACTTAGGGGTCTTCAGAGAAGGGGCAGAAAGACCCTCACCCCTTGGCTTTGTCATAGCCCGAGTCCTCAGTCTTTCTGTAAGTCTCCTATCTCTTGGCTGCTTTGCTCTCCCAATCTACTCAGTTTGGGAACTATGCCAGAAGTAGCTGTGACCTTGTACTGGAAGAGACTACTCCAGGGTTTGAATTTGACCAGAGAAAGAATATACATTGTTTCCTTCCAGGCTTCCTCTGTCCTATAGCTATGAAACAGACACTTGAGCTAAACCCATCCCTGACCAGAAACAATCCCTGTGTTTCTCCAACTATGAACTGTAAATGATGTCAGTAGCATTCTGACCGTTGGTTGATTAGTTTTTTTGTGCATACTATATATGTCTCTGTGAGCTGAAAATGAAAATGCAGGGAAGAAGGAATTCAGGACCTTTCTCCTTTGATGGACTGGTCACCTTTCCTCCTTAAGCAAATCTGGTGTTGGGCATTTTTATTCACATCCGCCAGACCCTAGTGAGTTCTGCAGGTGGAGCCCCCCCACCCAGCAGAAGTCCATTTATTTGTAATTTAAATATCAATTAAGAAAAATAATTTTTGAAAAACTGGGGAACCAAATTCTGACAAAGTGATTGGTGTTTCTGTTAGGGTGAAAATGGGATTGTAAATATAACAACAGAGAACTTGTAACATAATGATTAGTATGACATTTCAATGTGGTAATGTAACAAGAAATATGGGGGACCCCAAAACAGGAAAACCCCCACTAACATCGCTGGGAAGGGTAAGTGGAGCAGAGACATTGACAGTTACTTTGCACATCTAAAGAAGTTGGTAACTCATTTAGCTGTGCTTGCTGTACTCTAAGTCAGGGATATTGGTGTGACCCTAACCAAGGATGCAGCTGAAGGGATTTGCTGTCTGCTTGCAGGAAGCTCCTACCTCCCTGGGCCCTGTCTGCCTGGAAAAACAAATGGCAGACAAGAATGACAGGAGATATAGGGAAGGACAGATGTAACCCTTTGTGGAAGGAATCAGAAATGGGGTGAAGGAGGAAGATCCACACCAGGACTTAAACCCAAGTGTGGGGCAGCCATTGCACTCTTGATCATGCTGCTTGGGAAGGAGAAGCCTCTTGACCATGTAGCAGCTCAGGAGGGTCTTGGCCACACAGTTGGAAAGGATGCAAAAGGACCCCTGCCAGCCTGCCATGAGGAAGTGCCACGTGGTTTTGGATTAAGAGCAGGAGCCTAGCTGAGCATGCACAACTGGAAGAAGCTGGAATACAGATAGGAATCTGCCCAGCTAAGCTACAGACTTCTATTTCTCTTCCTGGGAGACAGTACCCCTAACTGACCTGCTTTAGCAAGAGGGGTCAGGATTGTGTGTTTGTGGATGTTTTTTCTTTTGTTTGTTTCTAAAGGGAGTGAGATTGAAGGACAGAATTCTGCCATTATTCTAAACTTGTATAACTTTTAAATACATAGTTCCTTTCCTTTTCAGAAGACTCTGATTTTGGGAGTCAAGAGTTTCTTTGGGTTTGGGCAATGAAACACAGAGGAATAGAATCCAAAGTGGCTCTGTTACAACACAATTAGACACATATTCAGGAATTATATTTAGATAAAAGAAGAAGTACATATTTATAATGGAAGTTGACCCATGTTTAGGTGAGAATTCTTTTATATCTCATGAAGGGAGCTCTGCTGGTGAGATGATCTATCAAACACACAAAGTTGTGGGTTCAATGGGCAGTCAGGCCATATGAAAGAATCAACCAATGAATGCATAAGTCAGTGGGATAACATATCAACATTTTTCTCCTACTCTGTCCTTTCCTCTCTCTAAAATACATAACACATCAATGTTTCTCTCCCTCTTTTTCCCCCTCCCTTCCACTCTCTCTAAAAATAAATAAAATCTTTAAATTTATTTTAAAATATAGTAATTTTGTAAGAGGTTTCTTCCTACTTAAAATTTTAAATCACTTTTTTCTGGTTTCTCAGATTGCAGAAGTTGTCCAAGTCTGGGTCTCAAATCACCATTCACTATCCAGTCTGACTGTGGTGGTTGCTGGTTATAGAAGATTGAAAGTTTATGACACCCTGGATCCAAGACAACTCCTCAGGCTGGGTTGGGTCCCTAATGCAATTTTCAGTGACTTTCAGAATATGCACTACCAGCCTTTCAGCAAAGAAGATCTCAGGTCACAAGGGATGCAGGCTGGATGGCTGTTGCATACCCAGATAGAAGGGACATGCATTAGTACTCTTCTCAGTTTTGCAGTAAAGTCAATATGCTTATGTCCACAAGGAGGATGAGTATGTTCTGAGCTGGTTCTGACATAGTGTGTACAGAGAACACAGCCTACCAGCAAATCAGACAATATTTACACAGCAGAAACTAAACCAGGACAAAGACTCAAAAACCAGAGAGCAGTTGAACCTGCACATACTGCCTAAAAGCACCAAGGAAACGCAGGTGTTGGTAGGAAAAAATCCAGGAACATCTTGAGTGAGAAAAAATGGAACCCAACTTAACAGAAACTGTGAGACTCTGAAGTTTATTGAAATGGGGAGCTGAAAGAGAAATGGGCTTACCTCCATTAATGAGGATGCTCTCCTTGGAAGTGTCTGAGCCACAAGACATCAAGTGATGTGCGACCCTAGAATATTATGATAAAACCTTTCACTGCATCTCCATGAAATGCCATAAGCCGACAAGCCACAGGGGAGCATCAGGACCATTTTCCACATACTCACCACCACAGACGACCCTGTTGTCTGAAAGCTGCTGAACATCTAGGGCAATGTGTTGGCCATCAAACAAATCAGCCACACTGATGAGCAGTACCCGCTCCCTTATTCCTGGGACATTATCATCCAGAGAGTTGGGCCAAAGTTCATGTTTCATAAGAGGCACAATTCTGATGAGGAACTCCTGACAGTGAATAGGAGGGCCAACTCTCCTCTCTTGGTGACGGTAATTCAATCAGATGATAACATGGCCATGGAGTCAACCTACTGAACCATAGCTACTCTTAGACTAAGGTGAGCCTCTGGAGGAGATGCGATAATTAGTAAACAATTGTCTGAGAAATGAAACATGATGTCATTGCTTTCCTTCAATTCTTCTAAATTTCTTAGCTCACAACTACTGTATCTGTCTGACCTCTCTATTTTTATTTAAGTTCTCATGAATGAAAAGGACCAACACTTAGAAGAAAGAATTTCAGGGTAGCCATGTTTTCAGCAGAGCCAGAGGTCAAGTTAATTCTCCCACCTCTTAGGACTCAGTGACAAAGGTCACTATACCATATGTGGAGACTTACCTGTTCTCAGCACTAACAGGGCCTTTTTTCTTCTAAATATTAAACTAACAATCGTTTTACAACTCCATTAATCAGTATTAATACTTTTCCGTATTTTGCTCACTCTGTAACTTTTTGCAGAAATAATCTGCAGTCCCTATGCAGAAAAGGTCACTGCATTTACAGGTAAAATGATCATCGTTCCCTTGCAAGGAAGAAAACACCCAAAATCCAAAACTTTCATCTCATGTTCAGATGCCTACTTTCAAAACCTTCGTGAATCCCAACAATGCAGTCATCCTGGCAGCAAATTTAAATTTGGCACACAACCATGATCTCCAAGTACATGTCATATTCATAAATGTTCATACTAGACATTATTCCAGAAAAATTCAGTAAGATATCTCATGTGCAGAAACAATTATTTTTGTAGTTTGGTAGTTATAAAACACATACTGACAGAGAGGCGGAAGGCTATATTCTGAGTATCTATGAGCCATGGTGACACCTCATCCACTTGCTTTAGGTCTGCCTAGTACTTCCTCTTTCTCAAGGTTCCCTCTAAGAAGGAGGAGAAGAAGAAAGAAAAGAAAACATGAAAGGTTCTAAGATACAAACAGTGATACAATCAAGCAGATAAAGAAACTTCAATATAAAGGATGGGGATGATGTTAGAATTTAATAGGAAGAGTTTGAACGGAGTCTGTGAAGGGTTAAAGGGACTTTGAGAATTCTCCCTGCTTATGCCTGAGCTGTGACCTTCATTGGAAAAGCAAAATACAGTGCTGTCTCCCAGGGGAATTGGCCCTTTCCCCAGATTAGTACCTTTTGATCTTTAGCTGTTCCTTTGGGAGACTTGGTACTTCTCCCAGAGGGAACAGTTAGTCAAAAATCTCAGTAGGCCCTTGGCGAGTAGCCATGTTAGTCTAAAACATATTTATTCATAGCCCCCAAAGTGAGACTTTGGAATCCCACCCGAGGGAAGGGTGCGTCACTTGAAACTGTTCCCAGATGAGCCCCGACCACTGCTGCCTCTTGGGCTTCCCCAGTGTCAGTGTTCAGTGTAGGTGATTTCCCATCTGGTGATGTACGCTCTTGATTCTTGCTTTCCTTTTTGCTCTTGCTTAATAAAGTGCTCAACTATTCACCTTTGACCTGGGGTCTTTATTGTCTGCGAATCCGAACCACCATGATCTCATACGTGCCCCTTAATGGCAAAGCCTGCAAATGAACTGACACCTCATCTCTGCTTAGAGGACCACAGCTGTTCCCATGGTTATTATTCTCTTTAACAAGATGGACACTTAATTTTTCTCATATAGATTGAATACTAAAATGTGTACTTGTATCTCTACAATAATGGGGAAGATCACCTTGACTTACAATTAATGATAGGTTACCATGAAAATGCAATGACATCAAAACAATGCTCTAAAGTCCAAGGTCACTCACAAGGGCTGTTCAGCACTGATCCCTCTGTTAAAAATTGAAAATCAGTACCACAAGGGCTTTAGAGATTCAGCTCTAATCCAGGACATTCTACTGACAGCAGTGAGGAGGGGAAAAGCTGAACAGGGTCTATTTTCAAAGTGTACATACAAGCCACCTAGTGACTTCAAATGGATTGTTAAGAAAATGTCATGGAAGCAGATTGCAAATATCACGAAGGATGCTCAGCACTCACCCTCTTCTCTGAAAAATCCCATGAGCTATATAACTCATCTAACTGGGCTGTGGAGGCATAGATTCAACCTAATTTGGCCAATTGGCCAAGTCAAGCAATCAGGAGTCAGAATATCAGTTGTGACCAGAGTGCACTGGGCATTGGGAGAAGGTTTGTGTTCAGAAGGATCATGTTCCTACCCAAGGATCTCTGGTGCAGACATGGAGACACTGGAAAGGAGCATGTGGCTGCTGGAAATAGTCAGGGCTGCAGGGAATACAGGGTGAGCATCAGTGTCTCCTCCTGGACAGAGTAAAGGATCAAGTGGGCACTGAGTGTCCTGTATGAAGAGGTGAACACTCCACCAGGGAGATAACAATACTATAGGTCTCCAGCATCACTTCTCAATTATGTCCCAGGTATCACTTCCCACTGTCCTCAAAAGGCAGTAACCAAAATGCAGCCAAGACTCAACATTGTTTTCCCTGGAGAGATCACTGGAAATCAGACAGGATTCCCATGAATGCTGTGAGGCAGGTGTTAACCCCACTAAGACATCAGAAAAATACAGATCATAATTGCAACAATGAAAACAGCAGCAAGAGGTGAGTTTTCCATTTCACTAAGTCTTTGCTGTCTCCCTGCCTTGCACTGAGGCCTTAATATGCCACAATAGAGGGCATCCCTAGTTCACCAACAGACTTAAGAGTTTGAATCCAACATTTTGAATCTGACATTTGTCTGTTGTAACCTTAGAAAAACCCCTTTTTCTTCCTGATCCTTCATTTCCCCAGAAATGCAGTAAGTTATTAACCCACAGGATACAGTTGAATTAAGAAAATAATCGAAAAGCAAATCCTGTCATACAAGTACCTGGAAGTGTGTATTGAATTTCATTAACTCTATTGATTCTCAAAAGGGCCGTGGTTTGTGCCTTCATTAATTTCATGTAGCAAAGTGAGATTGGGGGATTTTATGATCACCCAGAGGTACCACACTGGGGAATCCATATGGGAAGCCCTGAAGCCACATTGTCCCATGTGGGGTCTGTACAGATGCAGCTGATATGGGGGATCAGAGAAGCTCCATTTATTTTTCACAAGCACCTGGGGCAGGTCTGAGGTGTCTCCCATGGGAAATAACTGGTGGTATAGCTACTGCCTTTGAAATGAGCACCAAGGCTGGGATAAAAGCTGCTGTTCATCCCATTTTACACAGAAGGAAACTGAGGCCCATTAAGTGTACTATGTTCCTTTAGTCATAAAAATGTTCCATAATGTTAAGATTGAACCCAATTTGCATGGCAAAAGGTATGGGAAGTCTAAATACTGACTTCTTCTCTTTGGCCTCCAGAAGGGCTTTGAGGTTCAACAAATATCCATTCTTCTTACTATCTGGTGCAACTTCAAATGCTACTGTAGGCAGCCAACCCAACATTAGACCATAAAAATGGGTGAACTCTAACAAGTAAGGCTTTTTATTATATTACTAAATGTATGAACTTACAAAGATGATGAATTATGTTAATAATGCAGATTATTCTTTAAAGTATATGATATGTGCCTATTACACTGTGTACAATAAAAAAATCCCAATGATTAGGTCATATTTTCCACTATTAAAAACAATTATTTCATAAATCAAATATTACATCTCCTTTTAGGAGTCAAAGTGGGTGCCATTGCAATATATATCTTTGCTGTTTCACTGTCCTATTTGTTACAGGAGAAGAGCCCAAAATCATGAAAGAATAGGTAAGTTGGTGAGTACATATTTAACTATGTTTACCTAAAAACACATCAGTAGTACAGACTCTTGCAAAATGCTCATTATGAATCCTTACAAAAATGCAACTAAAACAAGAGTGCATACAAACTCAGGAAGAGCTAAAATTAATAAAAAATGAACAAACCAGTATTTTGCTAGAGTGGGGAAATGCAACCCTCATATCTAAGAATAAAAAGGCATAAAGGGCACTAGCCCTTGAACTACTTGATTGAAAACTAATTTTTGCTTTATGGATTATTTTTAATAGGGGAAAATATGACCTAATCATTGAGATTTTCTTTTATTGTACAGTGTAATAGGTACATATTATATACTAAAGAATTATCTGCATTAGCACCCTTCATTAACTTCATTAAGTCATACATTTACTAATATAATAAGTGTGGTTTAGTTGGTTGGAGCATTATCGCAAAGCTGAAAGTTTGCAGGACTATCTCCTGGTCAGGGCACATAACTAGGTTAGGAATGTGATACCCATACCAGCCACTTGAGACCCTGGTCCTGGCAGGCAACCAATCAATGTGTCTCACCCTCCTCTCCTGTTGTTCATCCTGTTGTTCTCTAAAAGCAGTGAAATAAAATGTCCTTGAGTGAGGATTAAAAAAAAGGTCCCAAAGGAGTCCATAAAGACACCAGTAGTTTAATAATGCATTGTTAAGTTCTTCAAAACATAAACATTAAACTTATGACACAGGCCCACACTGAGAACATTGGTAAAACATTAAAGTCAGAAGTTTCCTCAGCAAGGTTTCTTCAGTGTCATTATACTAAAAATAATAAAACATTTCTTAAATCGATCCATTTACAGTGAGAAATCTCCAAGGTCAAAAAGCTATAGATTTGTTGGTAAAGATTTCCTACGTTCATGTCACACTAAAAGCCTTTAACCAGTATGAAGTGTGTTTAAGATGGTGATGACTATGAGATAAGAGATTTCTTATATTTTATGTCTACATAAGGCCTATCTCCAGTGTGAACTCCCTGATAACAGAATGGATAGAAGAAGCATTTCCCATATCCACTGCACTCAAAAGGTCTTTTACCAGAGTGAAATCTCTGAATATAATAGAGCTTAGTACTACAATAAAAAAAATTGCTTATATTGTCAGCATACATAAATCCTTTTTCCTGTGTTAGTTCTCAGAAGATAACAGAAAAAATGGCTAGAAAATAAAAGATTTCCCAAATTACCTTAAATTATAACAATTAATCATTGTGAACTGAGGACAATGACAGGCACAGCTCCTGGTAAAGAATTTTCACATTCATTGCAGGCATAAGGCCATTCCCCTGGGTGAACTCTGATGATAACAAAGGTCACTGATAAAAAAAAATTCTCATTCCCTGCAGCCATAGGCCATTCTACTAAGTGAACTCTCTGATGACAACGAAGGTGAATGTCACAGATGTTTTCTAACATTCACTGCCCTCATAAGGCCTTTCTCCAGTGTGAACTCTGTGATGATAACGGAGGGCAGAATTACTAGTAAAAGATTTTCCACATTCACCACACTCATAAGGCCTTTCTCCAGTATGACTCCTCTGGTGATAAGAGAGGGCAGAGCTACTGAAATAAGATTTCCCACATTTACTGCACTCATAAGGCCTTTCTCCAGTGTGAACTCTGTGATGTTTTCTAAGGTCAGAGCTACTGGCAAAAGATTTGCCACATTCACCACACTGAAAAGGCCTTTCTCCAGTGTGAACTCTATAATGTTGACAGAGGGCAGAATTGCTAGTAAAAGATTTCCCACATTCACCACACTGAAAAGGCCTTTCTCCAGTATGAACCATGTGATGTTTACATAGGTCAGAACTACTATTAAAAGATTTCCCACATTCACCACACTCATATGGGCTTTCTCCAGTATGGACTTTCCCATGAGTATACAAGGCAGAGCTACTGATATAGGACTTCCCGCAATCACTACACTCATAAGGCCTTTCTCCAGTGTGAACTCTCTGATGCTTATGGAGTGCAGAACTATTGGTGAAAGATTTCCCACATTCACTGCACTTATAAGGCCTTTCACCTTTGTGAACTCTCTGATGATAACACAGGGCAGAACTACTGGTAAAAGATTTCCCACATTCATTGCACTCATAAGGCCTTTCCCCTTTGTGAACTCTCTGATGATAACAGAGGGCAGAACGACTGGTAAAATATTTCCGACATTCACCACACTCATAAGGTCTTTCTCCAGTGTGAACTCTGTGATGTTTACGGAGGTCAGAGTTCCAGGTAAATGATTTCCCACATACATGGCACTCATAAGGTCTTTCTCCAGTGTGAACTCTCTGATGATAAAGTAGGTCAGAGCTAGTGGTAAAACATTTCCTACACGTACCACATTCAAAAGGCCTTTCTCCAGTGTGAACTCTCTGGTGTTTATGGAGGCCAGAGCCAGTGGTAAAAGATTTCTTACATTTACCACACTGAAAAGGCCTTTCTCCAGTGTGAACCCTGTGATGTTTGCAGAGGGCAGAATTGCTAGTAAAAGATTTCCCACATTCACTACACTGGAAAGGCCTTTCTCTAGTGTGAACTATGTCATGTTTACGGAGGTCAGAATTACTAGTAAAAGATTTCCCACATTCTCTGCACTCATAAGGCCTTTCTCCAGTATGAACTTTGTGATGAGTATACAGGGCAGAGCTACTGATAAAGAATTTCCCACATTCACTGCACTCATAAGGCCTTTCTCCAGTGTGAATTTTGTGATGTTTATGGAGGGCAGAATTACTAGTAAAAGACTTCCCACATTCGCTGCACACATAAGGTCTTTCTCCAGTGTGAACTCTGTGATGTTTACGGAGGGCAGAGCCCCAGGTAAAAGATTTCCCACATACATGGCACTCATAAGGCCTTTCTCCAGTATGAACTCTCTGGTGATAAAGTAGGTCAGAGCTAGTGGTAAAACATTTCCCACATGTATCACACTTATAAGGCCTTTCTCCAGTGTGAACTCTCTGGTGTTTATGGAGGCCAGAGCCACTGATAAAAGATTTCCCACATTCGCCACACATAAAAGGCCTTTCTCCTGTGTGAACTCTGTGATGTTTATGGAGGTTAGAATTACTAGTAAAAGATTTCCCACATTCACCACACTGAAAAGGCCTTTCTCCACTGTGAACTAAGCGATGGTTACGGAGGTCAGAATTACTACTAAAAGATTTTCCACATTCACCACACTCATAAGGCCTTTCTCCAGTGTGAATTCTGTGATGTTTATGGAGGGCAGAATTACTAGTAAAAGATTTCCCACATTCATCACACTGAAAAGTCCTTTCTCCAGTATGAACTCTGTGATGTTTACGAAGGTCAGAATTACTAGTAAAAGATTTGCCACATTCTCCGCACTCGTAAGGCCTTTCTCCAGAATGAACTCTCTGATGATAACAGAGGGTAGAGCCACTGGTAAAAGATTTCCCACATTCACTGCACTCATAAGGCCTTTCTCCAGTGTGAACTCTGTGATGTTTCCGAAGGGCAGAGCCACTAGTAAAGGATTTCCTACATTCACTGCATTCATATGGCTTTTCCCCTGTGTGAACTTTCTGATGATAACGAAGACCAGAGATTCCTAGAAAACATTTTTCACATTCATGGCACGCAAAACATCGTCTTCCAGTTTGGACAGCCTGGTCTGGAAGAAGTGTGTGTTTGCAGCCAATGGCTTTCTTACATTCTTTTCTTGTGTGATAAATTTTTCTCCTTTGAAAATCCTCCCCAGATGTTGACATTTCATTTGCTCTTTCCCTGCTGTTAGTAGCTTGTTTTTGGATATTTTCTGAATCAGTAAAATTGATCTGCTCAAGCTCCTGGAAGGTAAACGTCTTTTCGGACACTTTGAAATTGCAGCCTTTCACAAGTGAGGCCTTGTCCACACCTTGTACAAAAGACTTCTTTCTCAAGTGCTGCTCCTGGTGCTCGTGATGCTTCATAATGAAACAAAATTGTTTTCCACATGCTCCACACCTCAGCAGTTTCTGTCTCTGTTGAGTTCCCTGCTGGTCAACCAAGAGAAAAATTTTTCTCAAGACACACCCACAACTGTCACAGGGGTGGCTCTTCTTGGAAGACAAAGCTGCCTTGGGATCCTTTGCTTGGGCCACTCTAACAGAAAGGTTCTGGTCAGTGGGAGCCTCCACATCCGCTGCTCCACAGCAGCAACCTAAACAAAAACAAACACTAATGAATTTGATGTTGACTTAGTAGAAAAAGAATATTCCCAACAGGAAAGTCCATTTTGCAAAGCTAGGCATGATTCTATGGACTGATTTTTCAAGACAAAGAGTTAGACTTTGTGGAAATGGCTGTTATTACTTATTGGCACCAAAGGTCAGTAAATGTTGGCAATCTCACCAGAAGAGACACAAGCATAGACTAAAAAAACAAAGAAGAGAGGCAAGGCCTACTAGTTGTTCCTCCACAAATGGCCTCCTGAAGGACCTTTCCTTCTGGTGATGGGAGTCTGTGTAGAAGAAGTTGAATGTGTCCAAACCCTTAAAAATCAGTTGTAACACAGCACATGATTTCAAGGTCAATGTAAAAATACATGAGTCCTAACTGTTGTGCCTTACTTGGTTGGAGCGTTGTCCCATGAACTAAAAGTTTGCAGGTTTGATTCCTTATAAGAGCACATACCTAAGTTGCGGGTTCTACCCCGTCCTGTCAGGGTGCATGAGAGAAAAAAACAATTGATGTTTCTCTCACGTCTCTCTCCATATTTCTTCCACTTTCTAAAATCAGTTAACATAATGACCGGTGAAAATAAAAAAAAATAATGCTTAAAAAGAGAGAATATGTGCACACTGCTAGGTTCTGCAAGCATGGATCAAGTTTGCAAGGTAGTAACCACAAATGTGTGAGTGAAATGGTTGAGGTGAATGGTTTAGAAAAATGGAAATTATTCACAGGCTGTGAATCCTAGGAGAAATGATAACTATTAGAATTGAGTAGTTGGAAAAGGATCAACAATATAGACAAAAAGGTTAAGCTGTGGGACCAAAAATGGTACCAACATACTGTTAAATAAATAGGTTCCTAGGTATAACTTTAATAAAGCCCTGGCATAAAGCCCTCACTAATTGCTATTCCAAGTCACAACCCCTTCTGAGCCCACACAGCCATGCATGGAGTCACACCCCTCCTGTGATGCACAAATGACTCTTCCTCTTAACTCTCAGTTGAGTCATTCATGGGACTCAGAACAAGAAATCCTAAGAGAGAAACTGAAGAGATAGACGGTAAGTAACTATAATAGAACAAGACAGCACAAAACAGACTCAGCAAAAAGATCTTTGTGAATAGCAGACTAGGAAACAGGAGGATATCTCCACATTCCATAAACAAGTACACAGCTATCCATGAACAAAAACAGTCCTGGAGGGAATAAGAGTTTCATTAAGGCAAACAGCAAAGCAGAAAAGCCAAAAATGGAGAACTACTCAGAAATATTGAATAAAAAGACTGGCTGAGCAAAGCTATGTGCAGATGGTGAAACACAGAAGACAAGGGTCAAAGTTAACTCTGTCAGCTACCATGCTTGTGGTAGCACTGACCCTAGTGATGTATTTGGAGAAAATCCCCAAGAAACTTTGCTATTTAGAACCACAGGAGCCCCTGGAACATTGAAGGAAAAATGTGAGAAAAGGAAAAAAATAGGTAGAAAGTTTATAAAAATATATTCTGAAAACTGACTTCCCAAATCTGATAAAACATGAGAATAATCAAGTTTATGGTTTCTCACTGGTCCCTGTACAATTTAATGGAAGTGGGCCTCACCAAGACACATCACATTAAAAAATGTGATGCCCAAAAAATGCACAAAATGCGGACTTCTGGCTAAGATGGAGGTGTAGGTAGAAACCCTTCACCTCCTTGTACAACCAAAAGGAGGATAACAACCAATCTAAAATCAATAAACAACCAGAAGTGCCAGAAAATCAAACTGCATAAAGTTCCAACAACCAAGGAATTAAAGAAACAGCCAGAACCACCAGACCGGTGGGCCAAGACAAACAAATGTAGTCCAAGTGAGAACAGAGGAAAGCTTCAGAAATAAGGCTAAGTGATGAGATAGCCAATGTATCTGGCGGAGAATTTAAAGCCCTAGCAATCAACATGCTCACAGAACTGATTGGGCGTGGTCAAAGAATACAAAAAGAAATGAAAGATACCCAAAATGAAATTGAGCAAAAATATTGAGGGAATCAACAGTGACAGGAAGGAAACCAGCACTCAGAGCGACCATTTGAAACAAAAGGAAGAAATATACATCCAACTGGAACAGAATGAAGAAACAAGAATTCAAAAAAATGTTGACAGGCTTAGGAACCTCTGGGACAACCTGAAACGTTCCAATATACAAATTGTACGGGTGCCAGAAGGTGAAGAACAACAGCAAGAAATTGAAAACTTATTTGAACAAATAATGAAGGAAAACTTAGCCTATCTGGTGAAGGAAATAGACTTTCAGGAAGTCCAGGAAGCTCAGAGTCCCAAAAAGTTGGACCCAAAGAGGAACACACCAAGGCACATCATCAAGTTACCCAAGATTAAACTTAGACAGAATCTTAAAAGCAGCAACAGGACAGGAGAGAGTTACCTACAAAGGCATGCCCATAAGACTATCAGCTGATTTGTCCAAAACCCCCCCCCCAAAAAAAACAAAAACAAAAACAAAAACCTCACAAGAAAGAAGTATTTGAAGTCATGAAAGGTAAAGACCTACATCCAATATTACTCTATCCAGCAAAGCTATCATTTAGAATGGAAGGGCAGATAAAGTGCTTCGCAGACAAGGTCAGGTTAAAGGAGTTAATCATCACCAAGCCCTTATTACATGAAATGTTAAAGGGACTAATTAAAAAAAAAAGGTAAAAAATATGAACAGTAAGTGTCTCAGGTTCGATTCCCAGTCAGGGTACATGCTTGGATTGCAGGCCATGACCCCCAGCAACTGCACATTGATGTTTCTCTCTCTCTTTCTCCCTCCCTTCCTCTCTAAAAATAAATAAATAAAATCTTTAAAATATTTTTTATATGTCAAAAATGCGAAGCAAAGAAAATCTTGAAAGCACCAAAAGCACAGAAACATTTCTCACAGAAAGAACATGCCCATAATGCTATAAAGTAAATTCCCCTAAGAGTTGAAGACTAGAAGACAATCAAATGATCTGTTGAAAACCCTAAATAAATTGAAACCTTCAAACCAATAGTATTTACTGAGAAAAACTGTTCTTCAGAAATAAAACAGACTTAACAAAACAAAAGCTAAGGAGTTTATTGTCACTCAACTTGACTCATAGGAAATGCCAAAGATCTTCAAGGTGAAATGAAAGAATACTTAACAGAAAAAGGCAGAAAACTACACTTGAACAACAATTATAAATAAATAAATAAATAATTCTTAACAGAAACATGAATACATAAAATATGTATAAAACTCATTGCTATACCTGAGAGCAGAAACAAATTCACAATATTTCAACACTACATTGGTGGAATACACATTACTAAACATTATTGTAAATGTGAAAAATCAAAACTAGTAGAAACACAAAGCTAATGTTTTACACCTTAAGTGATATACAATATAAAGGATAAGAATTTCCGACATCAAAAACATATAAAGGAGTGGTGTGGTGAAGAGTCAAAGGGTATTATTTTTGTATGCAAAAGTTGGCATCAAGAGAAGATAGTGTTGACTAAAGAACCTCTTTCATCTAAGTCATTTGGAAACCACAAGCAAATACCTTTGTAAAAGATACACAAAACACAAGGAAGTTTAATAATACCACTAAAGAAAATGATGAAATCACAAGGGAAAACAGTGATATAGAAAGATAAACAAACTACAAAAGAGCCAGAATCCAACAATAAAGTGGTAGTACTACCACTTTATAGGCTGTACAACAAATTCTCCAAGGAAAGCACAGAGTGACTGAAGAGATTAAAGACAAACAAACAAAACATAAGACACAATATATGCTGCGTATAGGAGACACTTAAATGTTTATGGACAAAAATAGCCTGAAAACAAAAACAGGGAATCATATTCCTTGGACATAAAACCAAAAGACAGAAGGAGTAACTAAAATTCTATCTGACAAAGATGACCTCAAATATTGTCACAAATGATAAAGGTCATCACAGAATGGTAAAGGAGTCAATTCATGTTAAGTATTAAGCATCCAAGAGCATATATTCATTCTATTAAGCAAATCATATCAGAACTGAAAGCATATAAAACAAGCCCAGTACTAGTTCAGTAGTAATAGTGAATTTCAATATTCTCCTTTCAACAAAAACTAGGTCGCCCATCTAAAAGCATTAAGGAATTGCTGAAGCTTGATGATACTTTAGAACAAACAGAACTCATACATTTATACAGAACATCCCACCAAAATGCACCAAGCAGAAGATGCATTTTTGTCAAGAGCACATGAAACATTCTCTAGGTAGATCTTACATTAGATCCAAAAACAAGTCCCCAATTTTCAAAATAAGTCATTTCAAGTGCCTTATCTGATCACAGTCATAGAACAGAAGAAATCAATTTTAGTGTTAAGAAAGATGAATATTCACAAATAAGATGAAATTAAACACAACACCCCTGAACAACCACAGACTCAAAGGAAAAATGACAGATCACTCCAAACACATCCAGAGGCAAAAGGAAATAAAAACACAACAACCAAAGCTTACATACATGGAGCACAAAATGCAATACTAACAACACATCTTATAGTGATAAACGCCCACCTCAAGACAAAAGATCTCAAATACACAACCTAATCCTGCAACTCAGGAACCTAGAAACACATGAAGATACTAAACCCAAAGTTAGTAAAGTAAAAAAATAAATATTAGAAAAGTCATACATGAAATAAAGGCAAGAAAAAACAAAAACAAAAGAATATCATAATTAAGACCAGTTTTTTTCAAAGATACACAAAATTGCCAGACCTTTAGCTACAGTAAATAAAAAAAAAACAAGAATCAAATGTACTTAAAAAGAAATGAGGCTTCCAGCCAATATGGAGGCATAGGCAGGTATGTTTCACTTCCTCACATAACAAAACTAAGGATAAAAGCCAATTTAAAAAAAAAAAAACAAAAAACATAGAACTGCCAGAAAATCAAATTGTATGGAAGCTAGACAACCAA